CATTAATATTTGCAGTTGGCTGGTTCGCTAAAACAAGGTATAAAAAAAGTCTTGCATAATATGGTCAGATTTAATCATAGCCATCCACCCTCTTGTCTATCAAATCACCCTCGCCCTTGAATTTCCCTAAATAGTCCTCTAATCCAACTAATCTATTGCAGACCCACCTAGACTCAGATGGAATGTTTTGCTGCAGACCTATTTTGAACATTTTTATAGCATTTTTTAGACCCATAAAATACCTTTAATGCATAACCTAGTTACAGTAGTTTTAAATGTTTTACTATTTCAGCACTACTGCATGTTTCAACTAACCCCATGCCATGTTTCAACTAACCCCATAGGTGGGGTAAGCCGGAACACCTGAGGGAGCGCGTTCCTATGTCAATTCAGCAATCATCAACAAATCTAACAATTTTTTAGCTGCATTTATGGCACATAATTATGTACGTGCTTCTACTGATAGTTATAATTTCTTGCATAAAGATTTTTAGAATTATATGGAAATTTTCAGGCCTGTAGCCAGGTCCTTCCAAGGGTGGGGGGTTTTCTGGGCCGGTGAGCTTGGCAAAACCCCCAAAGCAAGAGGATTTTTGTGCTTTATGGGTCTAAATAATGCTATAAAAGCTGTATGTTTGAAAACATCTGTGTCTGGGTGGATCTGCAGTGCATCAGTTGGGTTGGAGGACTTATTTGGGAAATTTGAAGAGGGGATTCGCCATAAAAGAGGGGAGTTTGCTAGAAAAGGGGGGAGTTTGCTAGAAAAGGGGGTTCTCCTGAACCATAAAACCCCCCTGGATACGGGCCTGATTTTTGTAAATTTTATTACAGCTAAATCCCACTCGCCCCTATACTACTATACAGTAGGAATATCAAATTTAATTAGTATTTTTAGTTAGATACAGTATTTAGCAAATTTGTGATTCACTGTAAGACTGTTCTGTAAACTGTTCGCAAAACTCGCCTTTTAAAATTCTATTTTCTAATAGCGCAGTGAGACCATCTGTGTAAGAGTGCTTAATAAATATTCAAATTATTACAGTATTATTATTTTTTATATACACTGTAAAGAAATGTGCAATCTAATTTTTTATTAATTTTCATAAATGTGTATTATCTTAACAGTTTTAATGTGGTAATAATGTGATTCCTTTTTGTATCAATTAAATCAAAGTATTTTTATAATGATCACTACTATGTGTGGTTTTTTAGTTCCCTTTTTCTTGTAATTTGTCCATTGTGTGAGTTTTGTATCCATTTGTATTAAAGTATGTGCATTTTATGTTCAGCTGTTTTTGTAAATCAGTGATTTCATACTGCTATGTCAATTTTTTTTAATGAATAAACCAAATATAAATATGAAATATTAGATTGAGTTCAGAAATCCCAGAATTTCTAATTCCCAACGGATGTGTGTAAATTAAATACTCATATTATTAATATTATTGACTCAATCACACACATTATGGAGCAGTTTTTTCCTTTATTTTTAATGATTTCTTAGAATAAGCCAGCTTTGTAATTAATTTCACTGAAACATATAAACAGAAATTGTTAAGTAATCATTGCTGTTCCATAGAAACATTGAAATACACTTAATGTACATTACATCAATTAACTAAAAAATTTTTTGACTTAAATTTAAAATCACAATTCAATGACAGTATCTTTAATGATAAAGTGATAAGGCCTAAATGTTTTTTAATGCAGTAAATGAATTATGAGCACATACATAAACTAGACATTATTTTTTATTACTTGGCAAAATGTATAGTATTAGGTTGTGATAAGTTTCATATCACAAGATCAGGTTCAGGTGAGGGGCCCAACTAGCTGTGGCCCTTTGAATTTTGAAAAAGCAAAGTTACACAGTCAAATTTTGGTCTGAGAATGCAACTTTTGACCATTTGTGCTATAGCCATGAAAATATTGGAGTTCTGTCTTGAACATAGTGGAGTTCAGATGCTTTGGACGCTTTAATATCCTACTCACTCTAATATTACCCAAACCACCTTTCTTGGCATTAAAAAATCATCAAAATGAAAATGAAATTCACCATGTACATTCTCGGATGCTTTAGCTCTTATAGAGACTGACTGACCCCCCTCTCCCCAAAAGACTGACTGACCCCCTAAAAGAGCTTTTTCCCTGGACCCCATAGGTCTCTGGACCAAGTCCTGAATTGAGAAGGCTACAAAGTGAACCTAGGGCAAGCACGGTCTCAGTGTTAAGGTAATTGTAATTAACGGTGCCCTTGCCTTACCACTAGGCTACTCAACATTTATATGATAATTGACTACATTTTGTCCTTATATCTCACTGTACTATTCAAGTCATTTTCTTGGTCGTCAGAACCTTCAAATTGAAGACAATTCTATGCTAAAAAATTTTACTGTAAATCATACTGTGTTTCCCATAACAAATTCACATTAGCAGGTACAGTAGAAAGGAACTAAAATAAACAGAAGAGTTTCTGAGCCTAAATATTTTGATCTCAAAACCAGATGTTATAAAATGATTTGTCTCCTGGTTTTCTCATGTTATACCCGATTCACACGTGAAGTTAAATTTAACAAAAAGTAACAAATTGTAACCGAGCGATCTCCCGAGTTATTCCTACCGAGATAAAAAGCATTCACACGCGTCTGTAAGGTAATGCCAAGGTTGTGTAAAATTTATTCAGTGTTTATTCAATTAACCATTTTTCCCCTACTGCGATATAGGTCTAGCCTAGGCCTAGTTGAGAACCCCTGTCACAGATGGACTGTTGAATTCATTTTAGCTGTAGAAAACTAAGGGTGGGTGATTTCAAGGAGGTTAAAATGTTGGGTGGGTGATACAGTTAACATTGGTAAACTCTAAAAAAAATAAGAGTGGAATTTAAGGATGGAAAAGTGGGCTAATAAAGGTGGGTGAAGGCCTATGAAATTAGCTTTTGACTGGGTGGAAAACTCCAAGGGTGGGTGGCGCTGCCCGCCGCTCGCCCACCATAACTACATCCCTGCATGTGACGTATGGTAGTAGGTGTACTTTCAAATGATTATTTTCTCTACTGCCACCATGATTTTTATGCACATGGCTTTTAGCGGGCTCGCGCCCCTTGCTTCAATGCTCACCGCAGTGCTCTTCATACTCATCCTTAATTGTCATATCGTCATTAATTAAATGTATTCCTCATGTGACCTATCTATAGATTGTTTATTTTATCGTACCAGTAAGAATTACTTAATAATTATCCTCATTAATTATTCATAAGAAGGTCAAGGCCATATTTTATTAAAAAAGAGTTGTGGTCATTTGTTGTTGAACATTTTTTTATCATCATTTTTTTGTCATCGTTTTCCAGTTTAATGATAATCCCTGTGAAATGAATTGAGTTGTAGGCCTACTAATTAAGCTACAGTGACATAACCTTGACATGGTGGTGTGGTGATTATAAGTAGGACCTTTTTGAATCATTGTGATATTGTAGAAAATACAAAATATCTGCGTATTCTTGCAAAAATATGTCAGTTCTTTACAGTAAACTCTATTTAAAACATTATTATTGATTAACCAATTAACCAACAACAGATGTTTGAAAAATATAACAATGATGAGGATATATGGTTCTAAATACAGTGGTATAACAAATTTTAACTAGAGCAGTCCTGAATGTGGGGTGCTGCCTGAATAATGTAGGGCGATTCCATCATTTTCTTTAATGATCGAGGTTAAAAAAAATTTAATTTCCGTTTACTTTTCAGAACCAAATATTACATTAATTGAGATTGGCATATACAACATGGTGTACCGGAAGCGCATAGAGACCCTCGTATTTTGTGCAGTATAAATACATAACCTTTAACCTTTATAATTATAATTGTTAAACTTGCCCTGCAAAACTTATAATGAAAATATTGTTTAAAAAATAATAAAACAATGCTTGCTTGAAGGGCGAGTTAGCACAGTGACATTGGATTGGACTTTAGCGCAAGTGGGAATCAAGGTCATGACCTGCTAGTGCTTGTGTCCTTCGGTACGACGCTTTGTTCTAATTAACTTTTGTCCTTCGGATTGAACGTTAAGCCATTCGTCTTAGCACGCTCTTTAAAAAGAGTCGGGGATTGTCTTCCGCTGTACCTCCATTTTACAACTGCACTGCAGATAGCACCAGTCCCTGTAAGCCTCTTTTTTACTGGTTGATTTTGAGCAATGACCAATACATTTAATTTTTGAATTCAAATAAAGTATGTGAAACAAAGATATGTAGGGGGAAAAAAAAAATAAAACATACAATATCAGTTTGCCTTTAACAAGATTGAAAAACATAAAAGTACACTATTATACTTCATAGCAAAAATAAGTCTAAAGAGTCGAGGTATAACCATTGAAGTGTTAGTTCAGTCCCATTTCTTGCCTGTCCCTTCTACTTATGGTAGTTTTCCACCAGGCAAATTTATTCACGCGAATCAAACATTTTTGCCCATATGCATGTGAAATTGAGAATCTTGTGATGAAAATTAAACTGCAGATGCCATATAGGTGGAAATTTTTGATTCATGCGAATAAATTTGTGGTGTAGAAAACAGCCTTTCAAGGGTCTTCGATATTAATCTGCATTTTCTTGCCCAAAATTGGCCGAGTAGGCCCATAAGGATAAGGGAGTTTCTCTAGGTAATAGAACAGTAGTAGCCTATCCTCCTATCAACTGCTCTGCCTTTCCAAAAGTAAAATTTGATGACAAGAATCTCTAGCAAATCTAATATCTTGAAAAGCATATTTCATTCCTTCTTACTCATATTTCATATCTCAGATTCATGATAATATCCTACCACCCATTGCCTTTAAATGTGAAACGTAAATTTTACATTTTTCCCGTATTGTATTCCATGGTAATGTACTCCATGTTTTGTCATATTATCCTGCAAGTCTAGCTAAAAATGGCTCAAATTTGTCAGCTTCGGTTTGTCTGGATACAAAATGATAACAATACTTTGCTCTCTCTCTATCTTCACCAGGTCAAGCTCTGCTCCAGTTATCCGAAACGTTTAAACAAATAGATTCCCAACGTGAAATAACGGTAGGTATTAAATTTTATCACTTTTTTGTGATAAGAAGAAAAAAGAAAAAATGAGCTGAATATTCATAAATAGATAGTATCAGTTACTAGGCCTGTAAAAAAAATGTGCCTCGAAAATTATTTTCTAAAAAATAGTGCCTCCAGTACCAAATGTTTGATACAGCCCAGTGTTCTCTCAAAGCCATTTTAGCCATCAATTTTACCGGTAAAAATAACCAGCCAACTGGTATAAATGTTGTGCTTGTAAAATAAAAAAAACCCCATTGACTAGGCCTAGGTTGTCTAGGCTTGGCTTCTTTCAATAAATTCCAGTCTATGCCTAGGCTATGGCTGTATGTGTTGTTTTTTCAAATCATTAAACCCCGTTCTAATGAGGTAACACCTCACAATGCACACAAAGCTGAATTTTTATGGACAAATTTACTATTAAAAATGTTTCAATTGGGAGAACAGTGGTTGCCTCAGCCCAACAGTGGTTATATCATTCCTCCATGGTTATATCAACTAAACGATTGTACCATTGGGTTGTGACAATACACAATCAAGATTACATAATAGTAAACAAATATAACAAATGGTAATAAAGAGAACTTAAACATAAAACTATACTGTACTGACGAACATCTGTAAACAGAAGTCAGAAATACATAGAAAATACATAGAATTTAGAGTTTACTAATATTTACTTCAATAAGAAATAAAGAAAAAAAATAAAGCAAAAAGATGCTGGTTGGAGTTGTAAAAATAAAATAAAGGAATATATTTTAATTGAATATTTCAGAGACACTAGTGTTGTTCCTTTTCATGTGGAAAAGGATATGCATGATAATGATTATAATAATTGTTTTAAAATAGGTTGTTTCAATCAGCATAAATTAACATAGTTTGCATATTCTTGAACAAAACATGAATGTTGTTGCAGCCCGTATTATTGATAATAATCAATTATATTTAATGCTCCAGTTCACAGACCCTATTTACGAAGGGTCTGTGATTGCACAAAACTACCAATGGCTTAAATGTCTCATATAAAATACAGTTAACTATTGTGAAGTGCATTCAAACTTGCAGCTGAAAAAGAAAAAAAGGCAGCGATTGGAATTGGACCAGCAATCAAAATGCTTTTTCTTATTTGAACAAAAGCCACATCCGGCAAGACATTTTCTTTAAATATTTGCAATTAACGATGATGACTGGTGTATTGTTCCTCTTTCCGTTTTGCATTATGTGCAGACCCATTGCTGTCTATTACATTACTTTAAACTTAATGAATTTCTTGCATCTTGACAGCTCCTAGCATTTCGGAAAGAACTGCTGACACCAATTGAAAATCATCTTGAACAAGAGACCAAATCAACGATCACCACTAATAAAACATACATAGCAGAAAATAAAACTAAATCAGAGGTTAGTAAATTAAAGATGTAGATTTGTAATGTAAGGTAATATAATGTCCAAGAATTTTGTACCGCATACTTTTCTGTTGGATACAAATCACTAATCCCGAAAAAAACTGGAATGAAAGTGGATGTTAATTTCTGTACCATAGAGTGAATACTGTACCTCTTCCCAGTGCTTAACTACTACTGAATAATAACCACAAAAAAAACTCCTTCAGTGACCTTGACCTTTCACTTCAAAATTAAATAACCTTTACAGCTATTTACTGTTCTTCTAACATTATGATGATCCATTCATTAGTTTTTATGTAATTTTTAGTAATTCTTTAAATTTCTTTAACCTTGCTGTTGGAATTTTCACCCCAAGGTTTGTTTTGTTGTGATTCATATTTGACACGTTAAAATGCACATATAATCGTAAGACTGTAATCACAAGTTGTGAAAAGTCTGTTTTAAAGAGGAATCGGTACTAAAAAATGTGGCGTTTTTTTAGAAATATGAAATTATTTATTTATGAAAAGATTTTGCATTTCGTGCATTTTTTAAACAATATCTTGAATTAAATATTATTTGATGTTTATAATCTTTAATTTTAGTGAGGAATGAATTTTTCAGGCCGTATGAATTCATCATGCATTTGAATTTGTCATACATAGTAAATAATATTTGTTCGTGCATAATTTTCATTTACATTGAAAACGCATTTCATGTCGAGATTGCTATTGTTCACTGGTTGTGTTCAGGGTTATGATAGGTTTGCTAGAGTAGAACACAGCATTGAGACTTCAATCAGGATTAAATATCTTTAAATCACCTAGGCACAGCTCCAGCAAATATACGAGATAAGCCAGTCACATTAGTTGTATATATTTTGCATGTTAAACTTTGAAATTCATTGTCCGATTGAATGATACAGTAGTATCTGTTTGGATGACTCACCAAATCGTGAAGAGGCAGATGGCGTATGTAGACAGGTTGTAAATTTGATTAAAGATGCTAATATCAATGAGACATTAGTGTGTGTTGAACTGTATACAGCTTCTTGTATACATATATTTTTTTTTCATTAAACTAAGGAGCTTCTTCTTCATCTTTAATTCAAACTAGCAATTTTGTGCTGGCTACAGTACTGCATAATGGGTAGAAACATGGTGGTATGTGTATTGTTAGGGGAGGCGATGGTCAGAATATTTATGTTTCTACACTGGCTTGTAGCTACAAAATCTGCTTTTTTGGTAATCTAATCTACAATCCTCGGAATGCTTTCTAAAGTATACTGTAGTTTGATCGAAATGAATCAAAGAGTCTACGTACCCAAGCCACAGAAATCATGCTCAAGAATATTTAGCCTCTCCAAAAAGTCCATTATTAAAAATTGTATGCAAAAAATATCTCTTTTATTTTCGAATGCAAGCTGTGTTCGCAGACTTTTTAAAAATTCCGCTTTACGCACTAGGGCCAAGGATATGCCAAAGAGTGAACTTAATCACTCTTCAAAATAGCAATCCCTTCACATGGCAAATAAACATACACACAAGATGCTTTTACATAGACCAAGAGACCAAGTCTCATTGTGAGGGTTAAGGAATGGATTTGTTTTCGTCGTGAGAAAACTGTGACAGGAATTGAACCTAGGACCCTGGGATTGGAAACAATCATCTTATAACCACCAAGCTACTCAACTCCACTCAAAAAGCTATTCAGCTTCACTAAACATGTGGGATGCATTTTCTTTCTTTAGTAAACTAGGGATGCTGAATATTGGAAGTAGCACCCATTATTACTGCTGGTATTCTCATCATGTTTTTCATTTTAGGCAGAAATTCTCTGTGGGAAGTTTTTTCAATCTAACACCCAACGTTTATTAGATCCGTCATTACTACTTGAATGGTGACAAGGCTTAGCTTTGTTCCTGAAATGTGTTGGCTCTACAAACGATTCATTCACCTGCAATGCCTATTAAACTATTGTAATATAAATGCTGGCAATAAAACTGCAGTACAACGATTCTATATTCCCCACATAATGAATACAGCAATGTAGAGAGCGTGGTTGGCACAGTGGTTGCTTGCGGCTCAGGCTTTCAACCACTGGTGACACCAGTATGTGCCCAACAAAATACAAAGTTCCTAAATTGTCCGATAGGGGTCTTTCAGATGGATATTTCGGATGGAAACCAGTGTGGTGTGGGAGAGAGGCTCTGGCAGAAACATGATATTATGTCCTTTCCTTTTCAGAATTTTTTTTATCAGACTTACTAGTCTTAATCAAATGTTATATCTAGTACCTATTGAGTATGACAAAAAAAAAGATGGAAAAATGTATGGAATAATTAAATGGATTTGAAAAATTCCCAGAATATGGACTGTGTGTTGGCCCTAATGGCCGCCCATCAAAAAAGATCTATTAATCAATGAAATAATCAATCACCAAATCAATTAGCCGAGTATTTCTAGAGATCCTTCAAAATTATACGATAACTATGGCTTGATGTTCTAGAGGCATGAATGTAGTTTAAGGTATGAGAAGTACCTGGTTCAATTCCGGAACAAGCTCGTTATTTTTTTTCAAATCAATTTAATTAATCATACCATACCTTGTATAGGAACCGTGTTCCTCCTTGGCTTTGCCCTCTTTTTGTATTTATGGAAATAAAATATTATTATACTTGGTTATGACTATTCTTGGTGATTCTCTCCTCTTTCTCCTTTAAATGTATCCCAAATCACACCTTTCCCTCCCCCAATTACAAGGAATCATCAAATATTTTATAATTACAAGATAGGTTCTCCGTAATTTCTGCATACAAATTTTGTAAAAACCATATTTTAATTGGTTACTTTTTGCTATTTTTGTTATATTCCTGATGTTTGTATTATATTTTTGTATCTGTAGAGTATGTATTGAAATGGTTACATCCAAACAGAATTCCCGTTTTTTTTTGGACAGTATGTAATCTTGAATCTTGTTTAGGATGCTCCTATGTAGAAACGGTTACTTTTCAACTTTGACATCAAAGATCGTTAACTACTGTAGCATATCTGCATTCAAATTCTATAACAACAAACATGGTAACAACTAAGACACCCTTTCGAAAACAAATACTTTTTATGCTTCTTTTTACTGAACATCGACATTCTATTCTACATAAATCGCGGAGAGCACTATTCAGTACAGTATTATACAGTATATATGCATACATATCTGAAACATAAATTCAATATGTGTTAGGCATTAATGAAACAACATTTGAAAATTAATAATTCTACTGCGCTTAGGTGAATCCCAACAAGGAAGTAACATCCAGTAATCACATTGGTACCAAAATTATTTTTACCTCCTAGGTTTATCTTAAGTGATATTCAGTTTCGTTTTTCTTTTCCTCTTTTGGATACTCAGTGGTTTATGGAAGTTCCTGTGGCATAATGATGACATGGTTTAGCCCAGGATTTTGAAAACAAGCCACAGGTGATGGGGTTACAGATATGTTAATCTTTTTTGGGAAGGAAAATGTCAATATTTATTATTAGGTCAACAAAAAATGTTGTTGCAATATCACAGTGTTATTTAGAAATTGTTGTCAGTCTGCCTTTCTATATTGGCTTATAGGCATAATAGAACTTTCTGCTAAGATGTAATTGCTAAGGCCCCACAAAAGTGTTAAAATATACGCAAACACATGCGTTTGTGGGACAACATGTATGCGTGTTGGACACAAGCGAGCCCTCTTCCGATTGGTCAGTTGTTAAGTTTGAATGACACCTCTATAAGGTCTCTTCTAGAGTTCATTGCCAACCATCACTCAGTGTATGTATTTTTTCTTGGTAGGTTGGTAGCCAGCCAGAGTACTAAAATCTGTGGTTAAGATATCAAAAATATTAATAGAGCTTCATAAATCAAGGCCAGAAAAGTTAGTTTTTTTCCAAACCTGAGACCCAAAATATCATAAATCAGTGATTTGCTTTTTTGATTCCTCAAAAATATATTTAATAATTTAAAATTACTGTAGGAAGGGACGTAATAAACTTTCCTTTCCCTTCCGTTTGACATTGTTTCTTAACCTTTCCTAGCATGTATCACAATGTTAAAACTTTTTTTAAACAGTAGCTACTTTATTGCCTTTTTGTTTACATTTTGATTGACAATTAAATGTCTTGTTGGTTTGGTTTGTGTATTATATTCTGAATGTGTATAATACTATATGTTATTGTTGTATTTAATTTATGATTCAATAATTTTATTTCACTCCAGAACTCAAAAGTAAAGAGTCTGGTAGGCAAAAAGGGAACATGTCCCTGTACTGTGCAAGATGCCTACCACATGCATACCATATGATTGCTCTTTGACCTATATAAATTCTTCTTGTGTTCAAAACTTTAGGGAATTTTTTTTTACAGATTGTTGAAAGATGCAGAAGTGAAGCAAAGAAGTACCAGAAGAAAAGCCTAAAAAATAGTGCAGGGAAGTACCATGAAAAGGAACAAAAAAGCTCACAAGAACTACAAACGCAACAAAAAATGCTCTTCGAGTTTAGGATCAAATCCCTTAAAGAGGTAAGGTACTAAAAATGAAACTTATAATGTAATTTTCCCTCATTAAAAATAAAAATATTCTTTTCATTTTAGGTACATAAAAAGGTTGTTGGTGTAGTGATTGCTTGCAGTTCATACTTGCGGATTATACTTTTAAAATTGTTCCCATTGAATTACAGAGGCAGTTATGTAAAGCCCTGGTTCTCAGCCTTTTTTAAACTGCTCAATACGTCACGGTATAACAAGGTTCTGATTGGGTGAAAGTAACCACGAGAGTCTGTATAAAACTACCCCCCACCCCACTCTTTCCTGTTGTAAATTTAAACAATATATCCATGCTTCCACTGCTTTGTAAAAATTGTTTTGAGAAAGAGTGGAAACTAATCATTTGCGACGCTGCATTCTGATTGGATGTTATAAAAACCGTACCATGAAAAATGAGTATTGAAGAACACAATATATATATCAAAAGAATTGTTTTCATACACAACACAAATGCCAAGAGTATGATAAAATATAAACATAATTTATTTTATAAAAGTTTGTCTTGTATTGGGATTATAGTAAACATAGTTTAAACCTCAGTTTTGATTAATGAATGTGAGTTAAGTTTTAACATACGCTGTGTGCATGCCTTTGAAATGATTCTGTATCCTGGGAGTTTTCTTATAATTCTGTCATTCTGCCAGCAAATAATTCTACTTAATTTGATAGCCATCCATCTTAGGAAGAATAGTGTCTGTTTAGTTTCTATAGAAAACGGATGGTCTCGTAAAGAAGCAGTACTCGATCTAGAGTTTCAATAACAACATTATGTCCTAGATTTTGTATGCTGTTCGTATTTCATTAAAGTCGGCTGATCAAATTTTATTTTATTTTTCTAATGATTTCGAGTCCAAGTCATTTATCATCATCAAACATCGGCTGTAGTACGTATTAGGGAAGGACAGGATCTCGGTATTTCCTTTAATAATGATATGTCAAACTTGTATTGCTCAGTGCCAAGGCCTCCAAAGTCTAAAATAATATTACCCTGGTCATTGGATTACACACCTTTCAAACATATTCTTGCCTCCCTGAGGGAGTATTTCATAATGTTGTAGTTCTCACAATCAGCATTTAAACATACCAGGTACCAAGTTGTGGCTCTGTATACATTCTGACAAGGTGGTTGGGGATGAAGTTGTCTGACATGTGTGTCTGACAATTTACCAGCATGATTCAGTGGTGAAGCTGTGGTGGGGATCCAGTGTTAAAGTTCACCTTGCCACTATAGTCATGGACCACACCCATACGTAATTCAGCTCAATGATGTTGAGAGTTTTTCTTATTATCCTACTTACCTCCTTTACCAATAGTCTCGCCCACGCATTAAGCTATAGGGTTCATCGCCTACCACTTGTTGAGACTTACTTAACCAATCAAATAGCAGTTAACACTTCAGGATCAACTTGTATGTCAAAGGTTTATGATGTATTTCTGCTGTAGGCAATAAATTTTGGATAAACACAGTTGTTGCTACTAGCCCAGTGTACAGGTACATCATTAGAAACAAACAATAATTCTGTTGCTAAGTGATGGGATCTTTATACTGTCTTGAATGTTTGCATTATGAAAACCTACCCTTGATTGAATTAGGCATATAAAACAAAATATAATTAAAATAATTCTCATGATTATGATAAAACAAATATGGAAGAAAAAGTATGAAATGTGACACAAAAAACAAATACTACTTCAGAATTTATGATAATTTTGATGAAAGTTACCATATTATATTCATAATAAAAATAATATTAACCAAATTATCAGTTAAGATATTAATTTAAATCCTTTTATACCAGCATCTTGATTATTCCTGTAGGCCTCTGGTGTAAGTAGATTTAACCATATGGTACTACAAGCAATGTGAAAACTACACAGTAACACAGCTGTTTAATAAAGGCTGATTTTGCATAATTGGAAATAGGATAACTTTACACCTTCCACCTTCGCATACATGCAAATTAGTCAAAACTCTATTAAAAATTGACCATTATAGTAACTTTGTTAATAATATGGTATTCTACTATTGCCAAAGCGAACATGACTATAAAACAAAGACAGTGTAGGTGCAGCCTAAGGTCCTTTTCGATATGTGACTTATTAAATGTTGATAACATGTGTATTTCTTTTTAATTGAGCAGTTTTATTTCAACTTTTGAGGTTTTTCTCAATGGTTTAGCAGTACCTCTCTGGTCTTTGTCTTTTGTATATTTTTAATGATTAGTTTTATTTTAACTTTTCTGACTTTCTCATTTTTTTACCAGCATTGCCATGGTTTTTGTTTGTATATTTTTGTTTTAATTATTTGCATTAATTTCATATTTATTCAAAATTCCTTAAGCCAGAGCCTAATTACTCCACTAATCCTAGGCCATAGAGAAAATAAAGAAGTAGCTCTAGAATAAATCAATAGCCTGGTCAACATCTGGCTTGATCTCAGCATGCAGGTATATGCAGAGCTCTGTCCCTCTTTGTGGCCTCCTTGCCAAATAGCGTGCTAACTATAATCAATTTTAAAACGCTAAAGCCAATAAAACATTCATACAGCCTAGATAACAAAAATAAAAATCACTTAAAAATATTAATTATCATCACAATACAGTTAAAAAAAAAAAACAAACCAAGGTATTGCAGCAGTAATTGGCACAAATACGCAAGGTATCACTATCATAACAGTATTGCATAATGAATAAATGGAGTGGAGCTGATGTAGTTTGGTGGTTAATATATTTTTTCTTCCAATTGTAGGGTCCTAGATTCAAATATTTGTAGTACGTTTTACTCATCAGAATTTGAGAGGATGTTGGGTAGGGCGGGGAAAGTGAATGGTATGTGTGTGCAGACGCTTCACCAACTCCACCATGAACGGCTTGCAAAGGTGTTTCAAACCATCCGCTCCATGCCAAAATTATACGCACCGTTATTGTTAAGAGTGGTAGAATGAGGACAGTGAATGCACATGTGTATTATTACAAATACTCATTTTACCCAGCTGGGATACGAGATTACAAACTGAAGTATTTAAGATTAATATTGTATTGTATTGGAAGTCATGAGTTCATGTTATTTCCATTCGATTGGACAATAAATAATTTTTGTATCTTGTAAATTCAGCGACAGTGCATGATTTTTTGACTACAGTAAAGACACATCTCCACCCATAAGCCTTGTATCGACGGCCCTGAATATCAGCCGACCCTCTAGTATATGCTGGAAGGGTCACACTCTATATGATTTATAAAAAAAGAAATTACACTACACTCAGCATCCAGATAAATATGATTAAGAAATTGTATGGAGGAAAATGTGAGAGATAATTCAAACACTTAAGTAGTAAATGTGGCTAGGCAATAATTAAACCATTAAGAAACATTATGGTTGCATTAGTGAAATTGAATTATCATTTAAAAAGTTGGTTAAGATACATTTGTTTTCATCACTTATTTAATGTATTTAACTACTTCGCTCATAATATTGTAACTTAAAGTATAATATTCATGTAGCCTTTTGTATCTCAGCTATAGAACATTTATCAATATCTATTGACTGGAGTAGAAAAAAATCTACCGGTAATCAATTTCTGAACTTAACAGCAATACTTGTCCTAAGTTCCATGTTACGCAAGCTTTTATCTATTTGACATTTGCATTTAATATATTTCCACTCCTTGGTACACAGTATATATTGACTTAGTAATCAAATTGTACTCATAACAATGGATGGTCTGTTTACAGATTTGACACGTCGCTTCCACAGCAACATGTTGCTAGCCTTTTCATAGCTCACGATCCGTCATCATAATTTTTTTGGCTTGCTATTAAACATGTGGTAGACATGATAAACCATCAGTAAATTACTCGTTTGAAAGGATAATATGAGTTGTCAACTTACAATCAAACAAACAACAAAACAAGTCACATCATGACTATAATGAGCATCAACAGGTCTTTGTTTTTGTTGATTTGATAGTCTGGGATTAGCTTTTACGTTCTGTTCAGACTTATCAAATTTTATTTGATAAAACATGTGCCATGACTATATATTGTCATGATGACATCACATCATGACCATATATGGGCACATCATGACTATATATGTGCATAGAACAGTTTCTTTGCTAAAGAAAATCTGATAGGCTGGACAGAGATTTAAGCTCCGTCCAGCCTATCAAAAACATGTGACATGGCTAACATCACATCATGACCATATATAGGTACATAATGACTATATATGGTCATAATAATTAGCATAAATATTTGCATAAAATTTGCTTCAAGTAATTAATTGGTTGTCGTGAACTAGCCTCATTTAAATCTATTTACATAAACACTGATATTTGGAATGTACTCGTTAGCATTATTTAATTTTCAGATTCAGATTTATTCACACATTGCATAATGGTGGTAATAAGACAAAATAATATAGATGCAAACAAAATCAAATGCAATTTGTGTCTGGAGAAGTCAAATAAGCCCAAATGGCTTTACGGCTGGCTCCACCAGAGAAAAAATGAAAAGTAATTTGTTCCATGATCAAAAGATAAGACAAAACATGACGTAACGAACACAAGGGAACAACGACAAAAGGAACAACAGTGTTTTTAAAAAATTACATATTACATTAAATTTGAACATTATTGGAAAAGAAGATAAACTGTCATTGGATAGGATAACACAAGTATGATAGATAAAGAAGAATAGAATAATTTTATTTTCTAATATCTCAATTCTGTGTTTTCCGACAACGGAGGCCAGGTGTCATGGACATTTGCATAATAATTAGCATATATATTTGCATAAAATTTGCTTCCAGTAATCAATTGGTTGTTATGCACTAGCCCCAATTTTATCTGTTTACATAAACACTGATATTTGGAACGTACTTGTGAGGACAATGACATGTCGAGGCAAGTACCAACTTTAATAAAACCTAAGTAGCAGCTGCGGATATTCCTAATTTAAAACAAAATTTGTTTTGGTTGCGCAAACTTGGTTTGACATTTCGTCTTACTAAGAATCCGATTAGTTGAAATTAATAAAGCATGATTTTTGTTCATTAAATGTGTTTACAAAGGATGAAAAGAATTTTCTAATAAGCTCATATTTTAATTTGATCCCCACATTGATTTTTCAATCATGAAACTTTAAACATCCAGATCATTCTTCTCTATCATTGGTTGGAACTATAATGCAATGTGCAGTCATGTTTTACATTTTAGCATATTGTGCAAATTATTTTTCTATTTTTTGTTGAACATTTAAACATCCTGATTATTCTAGTATACCATTGGCTGTAATTCTTCTTCTCACCCAAAAATCTATCCATGGGCGTGCCCCACTATATCTTTGTTAACTTATTAACAAATATGTTTCTTCCCGTTCTACTCGTTCTTCTCAATCCCTCAACTTGTTACTCCACGAGTCAAGCAAATTATACCGGTGAACGCTCTTTTTCCTTCTCTGCTCCTAAACTTTGGAACTCTCTGCCCCTTCAATTACGTATCATCTCTGATCAGGAATTATTCAAATCCAGTCTTAAATCCTTCTTCAAATAGCTCAACTTTTTTAAACATCTTCCAGCGCCAATGACAAGCCAGTTTTGTTTGCTTTAATAGGCATTTTTAAAAAATGTGTATTATTATTTATTTTAATCATTTTAGGCACATTTACACCTAAACAAAATGTTTTCATTTTTAAAAGTGTTTACTGACCATTAAAATTAACTCTTGACTGATAAAGTATGTCAATTTATTTGCGAAAAGCTACTTTAATTTTGGCATGCATATATAGAGTTGCGGTTGTTGGTTTCTTTACTGTACCTGACTCAGTATTATTTTCCCTTATTCAGGAAACTCTATATTTCCTTTGGAAGTAAGCTCTAAAAAAACTTCAGCAGGCTAATATCCTGCATTGCACTACTCCTGGGGGCTATAAAATGTCTTCACTGAAACATCTGAACGAGTTATTATGCTGCATGTGGGGAATATGTGTCATTAAGGTGATGTTTGTTATCTGAAAAAGTATAGGCCTACAGAGTGTAAACATTTGTACCTTTAGTAAATTATCATATAAAATATCAATTATTTTTGTCCGTAGACCATTTTTTCAGGGGAATATATGTCACTTGGGTGATGTTTGCTACCTGAAATATTATAGACCTACAGAGTGTAAACATTTGTCCCCCTAGTAAATTATCATATATAAAATATTGTATCAATTATGTATGTCCGTAGACCATTAGTTTACATTCTTTTAATACATAGACTGTACAAACAAAATTAACTTTATTATTTCAATATAATTACATATTGATGACTACTAGACAAAATATATTAAATCATCTATTCATTCTATAGATAAACACCTTGCTGATGTTGCATTGTTAATTTATTTTTATTTTTAGAAATTCAATGAGTTTAAGATGTTCTTCATTGATCTGTAGAAAGAACATTATTTACAGAACAAGGGTTACACAATTAATAAGACAGGAACACCACAATGTCATTATTCCAAACCAGACATTTAGAATATCGACAAGTATTGTTTATTTTGAATTTTTTATGTATATGGGAGTTAGACTAGACCGCTATTGAAGACATGCATACACAAATACTGTATACTGGTGTTCTAAAACTAATTTGAAAGTCATTAATAATCATGATAATGTAGTATTTCTTGGAAGAACTATCTGAATTTTGGTACACCATGGATTTGAGGAAATAACCATTGGTTTGTTGTTTTGATGTTTCAGTGGCAGAACTCCAAATGTCTTCTAGATATTGAAAAAAGAATTAAATTAAATATGAAATTATGATAGACATTTGTTTATTTATTACAAAGGAGATTGATAATAGTATAATATGTTGTCAGAGCTTTTCAATCTATGTATAACTCTATGGTTGTACATGTACCCAATAGCTGGGCACGATTGGCATTTCTACTTTAAAACCTCAGTAAAAAGATAGTTTGGTCTGTGCACCTTAACTGGAATTTCCTGCTTGTTGCTTAACCAGCTAAAAATATAAACATTATTGTTATGATAAAAACATCTGTATGTAATTATGGTGTTGCGTTGGCACATTGATGTAAGAATATGATCATATGTACAGTACATATTTGATTTGTTGAGCTGAGCATTTGGCTAATGAGCTGAGCATTTGGCTAATTGGTATGGTTCCTGCCTCTTGCACGCCAGGGCCCGGGTTCAATACCCGGCTCTGCATCGAGTATTGAATTCGGGTCTTAATAACAAAACGCTCAGCTCCTCGAAGAGTTAGGCGAGTTAAGGACCATGTATGTATCAGTCTGTATCCGTTTGATGTTGTAGAGTAAGTGGGGTAGTTGGCGCCGAGCTATGGCAGCCGCTGGTCCCCGGGGACCCAGCCCGAATTTCCCAGTGTGTAGGCATACATATACGAGGACAAATAAAGAATTATTATTATTGTTAGTTTTTTTTAATAGATTAAATAGTTTTTTAATAAAAACCTCATTGAATCAGCCTTAGTTTATTCTTATTTTTTAAGCGATTTCAGCCTCGTGTTCTTCTTTTTTTTTTTTTAAGTGTAGGCCTACTACGTTTTTCTCTGTGTGACAATTGAATATGGCTCTATGTCATTTTGTACCATATTGTGTAACAGAGCACTAATGACAACTAGGTACTAAATGAGGAATACCAATTTGAACTCTGTAGAATATAATAACTTATGGTTTTGTTTTGTTTTTTTCCTATAGGCATGGGACAAATTAAATTTTTAATTACTTCAATGTTTTTTTCCTTCCGTAGGCGTGGGGCGAAGAACGTCGTCATTACTGCTTGATAGGTGACCGATGCTGCTCCTTGGTCAAGAACCACCTGGTGTACCATAGCAAGGTAACAATCAATCAATCAATCAATCATAGAGTTGTGTTAAAATTCTGTGCCATCATTATTTTCCCAAATGATGATCCATTTTTTCCAACAGAGGGACCAGAGGCCACTACAGTCTCTGCCCCACCCATGGTTGTGGGGCTGAAGTAAATCCATCTATTATTGTTAATGATATTATTATTAATTATAAATTTAATATTGCTAATAATATTGTTAATGAAATTATGCCTAAAGTCCAGACTGTCAAATTTTATTTGACAAAAACATGTGACATGCCTAAATATGGTCATGATGACATCACATGACCATATATAGGTACATCATAACTATATATGGGCATACAATAGTTTTTTTGTGAAATAAAATTTGATAGTCTACACAGGGCTTTAGCTGCTCACTCAGTTGTATAGACCCCTTCTCTAGTATTACTCAGTAGCAAAAGGTCGTCCCAGGATATTTAAGAGGTCACAAACATACCTATGTAGTGTACATCTTGAAAAAAAGCTTGCAAGAATAGTATCAATTACACTTATTAAAAATTACACAATTAAAAAACAAACATTTAAAAATGCAATACTATATACTGTAGTGTCATTGAGCTGTACTTTTCCAACTCATATCAAGAGTGTTGCGAGCAGCGATAGAGCTATCTCATTCGCTGAAAACTCTTTCGCTTTCACTGGAAATAACAACCAACCCAAAGGAATTCCAAAACTCTTTAAAAATCTATCTATTTTTATGGTGTTGGTGACTAACATGATTGCTTAGGCTAGACTTTTTTACCCCTAGTTTAGTGAACCCACCGCCCGCGAATATTGATGATTTAGAATACAAATAAAATCTTATTTTTGGCCAATTAGCAAACCCAGACCGTGAAAAAATGGGAATTTCAGAAAAAAAATAAAAGTTTTTCTTTATTTTTGTTAATCCTGCCACTGCCTTGAAATCTCCAAAAATACAGTAAGATACGTACGATATATTTCTTCCTAGTTTACATAAATTTAAAGCATTAAACAATCCCATTACTACACTGTTTACATTCACCAATAAAATTTTAATTTTATTTTCTCCTCCTTCTGGATGTTTTTGGCAAAACTATTTGCTAAGTAAGAAAAAAAAAATTAATTAATTTTTTTTCCCACCCTCCTCTGACTATCTTCACAAAAATAAGTTCGCGAAACAAGGTATAAAAAAAGTCTTGCCTTATTCACCTATTTCTCTCTACAATTTTTATATTGTTTCGCATCATTTTATGTTAGGTTTACTCAATCCATCAAGATTTAGGTCAGGCGCTCAGTAGCCTAAGACTACTATAGTAATCAGTACATCATTGAAAGCCCCGAGTTCTGTATATATACAAACAATACATAATATATACATTTACCACTGCCTGTGAAAAAGCTTAGCCCTTGCAAAGGTCTGGTTAAACAGTTTTTTCGTTAGTTCTTGAATTTTTCTGTGCAAACATGTTAATGTAATTAACAAAACCAGTACAGTGAGTACTCTAATAGGTTTAGATTCGCTAGCACAACAAACTTGAAGTTCTCGCATACATCAGTGACGTATCTAGGGAATTACTCAGGGTCCCCCAGTCGCTCCCCCAGAAATCACAGTCAAGTAGTTAAAAATCACCTAAAATCACCATATTTTTCGAATTAGTGCCCCTCAACAGATCGTCGAGCCCCCCTGCCACTTCATCTTCGCGACCGTTCCCCCTATCACCACCCCCATTTCAATGCTTCTAGATACGCCACTGGCATATATTATTGAATTACTATTTTTATTAATAATAGCATTATTGTTCATTATAAGTTATATTAAGATAATATATTTTCTATCATGTTTATTATCGTTAGAATTTCCTGTAATGTTTGTAAAGCTACTTTAACGATAATGGCCAACTAATTTAATTTCCGAGTGACTTGACACGTAAGCTGATGCGTAATTAATGTCATTAGTGAGTATGTAACGCCGTTAAAGGAACGTGATAACTTGTAAGGTTGCGTCAACTAATCTTAAATTAACCTTGGGTACAGTATATACAGTGTAACTGTACAGACGGCGTATACAGTATTAAATAATTCTGTTTATATTCTGTAGAGATGGGCATCTATTCACTCTAGGTTATTTACTTTCCAACGATACTATATTTTGTATAGTTCAATCGAATTATGTTTTATGATTTTTCTTTTTCTGCAGTAAGGGCCTTAAGCATTTCTTTGTTAGCCTACAAATATTAATATGAAGAATATCAATTTATTTAACATAAAAATAACACTAAAAAGAAAAGATCGACGTTTCGACTCCATGGTGTCATTTTCAAGATCAAATGATGAAGTAAAAAATATACAGCAACTATAATCAATAGAAAAAAGCTATACTTCATCATTTGATCTTGAAAATGACACCATGAAGGAGTCGAAACGTCGATCTTTTCTTTTTAGCGTTATTTTTATGTTAAATATCAATTTAATTTTAGTAAATGATTCATTTTTAAATCATAATATTAACAATTAAAACAGAAATCTGTGACAGGACTAGAGGTGGTACAGGAGGAATTTGCTTGAATTCCTCTGCTAAATTATAATCTGAAATTGCAGCCATTATCCTAACCCCACTTCCCATCCAATCCTGGATTAGCCCCTTCCATATTATGAATTTAGACTGGACGATGCTTAAAAGTGCTACCTGTCTTTCTACTGATCATATAAATCAAGATTCAAGATAACTTTATTTCTCATGGCAGTTAAAACTGAATTGAGAGAAACGTAGAGAAACAAATTAAACATACAATGGTTAATATGCATGTTGTAACATATCTATTAAGCTACTTTAGCTAATTATACATAAATGATAATGTATGGTAAAAACTGTAATTTAATTTTTTATTTTCTAGGCTCAGAGCCTGTTTAATCATCGTCTTCCATCATGGCTTGACACCGTTGCTAAGCCTGAGAACCTTCCAGAGGAATGTGACGACTTCTTTGCATCTGTGAGTCATTCTACATACAGGAAAAACATACAACGGTTTTTGCATGTTGTAACATTATCTATTACGTTCACTAATTATACATACAGTAGAGCCTATGTGTAGTAGACACCTAACCTCAACTTTCAGTATGCTATAATATTTGTGTGTGTGTGTAAGCAGGTCAACTATAGGTAGAAGGGAACTTCCCATGCTTTCCCCTGAATTTTTGAGGAAAATGAAATTATTTTTAAATTTATGTCTGGGAGTCATTTCAGGTCATTTAGTGGTGTCATAGCCATGCAATTTCATACCTCAGCCCCAAACATGGTGGGGTTGAGGTGGTTGGACCCTACATTTTATGTAAAAGTCCCTCTCTAGGCACCTCTCCCCTTGTATAATATTTCTGGATCCTTCTCCTCTAGTAGGATGGTGTCATCTAATGGGAAATGCAAAATTTCTCTTAGTAGCCCAGTGTTGAAGTAGTAAACATACTGTAAATGCTCGAATAAGCGCCACGCCCGGCGCCACAGCACTTAAACATTTTTTAGAGGCTTCGGTGTGACGCTTATTCAACAGCCGCGGCGCTTAGCTAAAAATAAATCAGGTTTGGTGGGACACTTATTTGAGAGTGGCGCTTATTCGAGCATTTACAATTAACTTAGTTATTGTTTAGTCCTAACAATGTGTGTTTTTTTCCATTTCCTATGTGTTACGTGTGGTTTGCTTATTGCTGTTTGCTTATGTGTAGCAACCACGTCCAGTGTTGGGAGAACATCTGGAAGGCGGGGGCCAATTTACCCGGACTTTGCTGATGGAGCATCGTCAAAATCTACACAATGTCCAAAATAAGGTAGGTCAAGGTTCAAATATCGGCCTTGCTCTCGATATCAGTTGATGCATGTGACCAAAAATTCTCTAAAATAACTATAACCATTTCAAATTCAAACCCAAGACTTTCCGATTACCGATATGTAACGAATATTTTCATAGTACCATACAAACTTACTGTAGGTTTTATGAACTGTCACACAATTAAAAATATTGTTTGTTTTAACCTTGAAGTTAAGAGTTCGCAGGCAATTTTGATTGTAGATGCCGCCTTGCAGATACCATTTATTACTTCACAGCCATTGTATATCATCCCACAGAAGTGATACAGGCAGAGACGATTATTTCCTTAATCTGTTTGTTACGTCAATAAACTTGACTAGATTCCAAATAGATAAAGGCTATAGAAGCCATAGCAATATTGCTCTATATAAATACAACTTTAGTACTGTATTATTATTAACCGTATTAAATTCGGATCAAGTTTTATAAAGGAGAATAGAGGCACTGTGTGTGTGTGCTAAGTCATGGAGATCTTAGGCCCCTATCACTACTCTTATTTCAAATGTTTGAAATTTTGGCTGGGCCCCAGGGGCCTGCAGTAGTCACAGTACTGCATCAATACCAACATGTTCCAACATGTGCAGTGTTCTCCCAATTGAAAAAGTTGTCCTTGTAGAGCCAGCTAAGCGTGCGCAACATGAAGTATTGCCACTTCTAAGTGGCAACATGAAGTATTGCCACATTGTAATTGGACTTCAATGGCTTAAAAAAAATAAACAATACAATTATAGCCTAGACCTGTACTGGAATGATGTTTGTTTATTGAAAGAAGGCTACCAAGGCCTAATAAGTACTTTTTTTTATTCTATCAACACACAATTTTTACTGGTTGGTCAGTTATTTTTACTGGTAAAATAGACGGTTAAAACGGCTTCGGGAAAACACTGATGTGAATGTTTTTTGCTGGCAGATCATTTATAATTTGCAACTCATCTGCATTGAAAATTTTTACCCATCCTACGCTGGACCACAGTATTATCACTTTACTATATAGAAGGCTGTATTTAAAATGCATTCTAATAATATTCAACGTACATAACATTGATTTTACTTAGATTTTAGTGATATCGGCTGTTTATAAATGTTTGATTTATTATTTTTAATGAAATTCTTTAGACTATCCAGCTGGGCAGTGTAATCAGATGGTATAGAATTGACAGTCTTGCTATGAAGGCTGATTCCATTAATAGTGTAAAATGGCATAGTAAAAATGTAAACTACCCTCTTCTATTCTTCTACCCCAACCCCCCCCCCCACAATCTCATAATCACATACTGTACTGGTGATACGTTTGCTCTATGTAGACTACACCCATTGCATAACAACTGTCTCTTATACACATCTAGATGTGTATAAGAGACAGATCCTATACTTTTTGGTTTCTTTATCTGGTCTGTTTCATTTTCTTTTGAACAAACCATATTCCTGAATGCCACCGTTGCAAAAGTGCTCCTTTCAAATAAAGTAATTCATTATTTATTTACTACAGGGTAATACTATATGTTAGCAGCAATGCACAATTATCAACATATTTTCATTGATGAATGGTGGAGGGATCAAATATAATAGTATTGACCATGCATGTGCAGAACTTTTTTTGTAATTAACTACAGTATATCTACAGTATATGTGTAAGTAACTAATCTTAAATAGTATTTTATGTACAGTATTCACTATATCTTAGTAGTTAGTAAGTTTGTTGTTTTTTCCATTATTTATCAAGCACCAAGATTGTAATTTCATAGTAGTTTGATGACAATCTTATCTTATTATATCTATTTTGTATACTTTTTCACATTATAAATAGTTAAGTCTAATTACCTTTCCATCTGGATTATCCGCGACAATTTTGACCACCAAATTGCTGGGTAGAATACTGTGTATGGAATGACCATGGAGCCGGAGGCGATGATAAATCAACCTTAATTGTTTTTCCAAAAGTTTTGCCCACAACCTAGCGCCAAATTCAATAGGTTTAACGGTCCAGGCGTGGTTGCAGCTCTCCTTCGCCTCCTCACAAATGCACGACGAAGTCTAAATTTAGTAGCATATAGCTAAGCTACGCGATTGATTTGTAGACTTACCATTATTCGGAGAAATAAACTTGAATAAACTAGCCTACGTACAGATTTTAAAGCAGCCATTATAAATTATTGAGCTACATTATCGTTCCACCGTGCCGCGCTGTGTGTACGTGGGCCGGTTATAGGTTATAGCAGCAGTAGCAAGTAAACAAAGAATGGGTTGTTGACCATGGGATAAGTTGAAATTTACTTCCGGAGTGGTTTCGTTACACGTATTTACCGTGAGCTAAAACTTGCTCGAACGGTCGACCACCCGCTGAGTGCTCAGCGCGATTACCCGGTGAAATAAACGGAATATGGTTGGCGTTTTTTGCTCGAACGGGCCCTATGTCACCTACTAGAGGTAATGATTTGGTTGGTTAGACACTTTGATGGTATTTGTTGTATACAAGCTTGGAGATATGGATAATTTTTCGTTCCTGATGATGGCATAATTATTGTCAAAATATAGAAAAAGAATCCCAACACAATGGCATCTATTCCAATACTTGAAGTATATATCATACTTTCTTGTCTAAGATTAATCGGTGGAACTTTCAGTGTTGGTTTGTGGATACTGACTTTGATACATTACTCAAACAGTTTATTCAATTTTTTTTTATAGTACTGTAGTTAATTTATTTTTCTCGACTACAACCACATCTGCCCGTTAAAGTACCATTTTATTGTGGCTTACCTTATGTTTTTTTTGAATTTATAATAAGAATATTCATGTAATAATTATCTACCGGTCTTTGCAATTATCTGTGTGGGGGTGTATTAACATATTATGATGTAGTTACATCGATATTGTAAAGTCAATCATAGTAATTGTTTGGTTTCAACGTATACTTGATTCGCAATAGTTATAGACTATTTTACCCTGTAGATGATTATCAGATATGAAAAATATAATGTAATATGAATGTAGAATAAATGTTGATTTCAATTTTGCTTTTGTCGTCCAATTTTAGAGTGACATTAATGCATTCACTTGTTTTTACTTGCAAGTCATTCATTGTTTAGTTTTTATATATACTTGATACTTAATAGATGTTGTAGATTATTTATCCCCAGTTACTAACACCTACCCTGTAGATGATTATCAGATAAGACAAATAATATGTTATAATAATTATACTATTACTTCACCATGCAAACCTTCGAAAATAATATGATATAATATCAAGGTAGAATAATTTTTTTATTTGAATTTTGACTTTTAAAAATATGGGACATTTTTCCATAAATTTCTATAAAATTTAATTGCATGAACAACTTTCCTGTTGTGTCGGGTATACACAGTGTAGGATTACATTGACGGAGTGTAGGAATGTTATGAAAACCAGGTTTACCTAAAATTTACCAGGTTTATTACCATGGTTACACATTTTTTAAGGAAAAAGTAACAAATAGGAAGATCTTATAATGTCATCTTCGCTTCATTTGCGTTGAAAAACAGGAACAATTACTGCTTCCTCTTTCACACGAGGTTTCATTTTAATTGAGGAGCCAGAGGAAATAATAAAAGGTGAAATGGGAAGTTGTAAAATAATTTTAAATGAATTACCAGAAGTGAGATACTTCAACCTTGAAAACATGTAAAGTTTCTAATATAAGTGATAACTATTTTGCCCTAAAAACATGTTTTTTAGTAAATGGTATTCATACTTTTTGGAATTGTTTTAAAGATTAAAACAAAATGTTTTATAATGAATTTTGACTTACAATATTCCAGTCAGCAAATATTTTTGTTTCTCTATGTAAATATTAATTGTTTTTATTTTTAAAATAATTTGTTTAATTATTTTAAAATTGTGTTTTGAATATACAGTAGAGCCCTTTCTTTGGGGACTCCTATTAAGGGGACACTTGTTGGGCCACAAAACAAGGAAAAGTATATCACACTACTGTCAACCCCTATTCAGGGGACACCCCTATAAAGGGGACAATTTTTGCGGTCCCAATGGTGCTCCATCAATAGGAGTTCTACTGTAGTTGACAATCTGTATTAACTTTTCATAATGCCAGTTTTTCTTTAGAATTTCAAGTACTCAACATACAAGCTTTATTCAATGTCTTCCCACCTCATTCATCTTTAAAATTATTTGTACCGGTAGGATCGAGAGAGGTTAGCCAGTACCGGTGGTAGAGATGCTGACAGTCATAGTGTTGGTGATGATGGCAGCCCTAAGTCCACTACAGGCACATCCACATTCGTCTACGCCACCCTTCCCAAGAAGACGCTGGTCCATTCAAGCAGTATGCGACACTCCCTCAACCCAGTACCACCACCCAGCATTTGTAAGTAGATTTTAAACGCAGTATGGGTCATACACAGAGGCAGATCAAGGCTTTCGGAAATAATAGAAAGCAGGGGCAGATCCAGAATTTTTCAAATGAGGGGGAGGGGGGTGTTTCGGCATTTGTATTCTTTTTTTTTTCTTAATATATAAAATTGATGACATGTACACTGAAATTTGAAATTTATTGTCAAAATGGGAGTGGGGAAAGTGCACCTGAAAAGAACATGATAAGTCCAAAAAAAAAAATTATTTGTTTGCCCTCCTCCACTGGCCCCTAACTCACTGAAAAAAATAGGGGCGGAAAAACAAAAAAAAGTTATTAAAAAATGTGAGTGAATTTATTTTTATTCTATGCCAGATGCCCTACTAGTTAGTCTAAAGTTGTCTGATGTAAGATATTGCCATTCTAGGCCTCTATGTGTTGTTTTTATTCCATCTGATGAGTATTTAAAAAAAAAATGTTTCCACCCGCCCCCATTTATCATTTTTTTAAAAAGAAGGGCAAACAAAAAATTTATTTTATTTGGCCTAATTTAAGATTGAGAATTTCCTTCACTGTATGATAATTAAATATAAAATCGTATTCATTCAAAATAATCTAACCCTGCCTATGATTGGTATTGGCTAGGCTCATATGCTATCTTTAAAGCCATTTTTCATCACTTAACAATCTTTCCACCATCCTTTAATAATAAGCGGCATTTAATTACCTTACCACCAATCCCTCTATTTTCTTGTAGCCTCCAATCAGACACTACCAAAACAACAGATGAACCGTCAAGTGTCCGAGCCTGCAACACAACAGAGCTCTGCAGAGGAACCTAGGCCAACTCTAGTGCAGGCAATCTATGGGCATACAGCTGCTTCACCGAATCAGCTCAGCTTCGTGGAGGTCAGGCTCAAGTCATTCTTAAATTCCAATTTATCATGCAATTTATGTGAATATGTACATTGGCAAATATCTGATCGAATGTTGGTGATATTGGAAATCTCCTTATGTAGTTTCTCAAGTGTAAGCCAACCTCAGGTATAGTCCCATCCCCTATATTATGCGTGTCTTTCCTTGGGAAATTAACCCAGAGTATGATTTTAAAGAATAGCTTAGCTGACTTATAGAAACACTTTCATTAAAAATACAAAAAAAAAAATGTAGTACAGCTGAAAAAATATTGCCGTTTGATTAAAAAGGAAATTCCCTGTGCATGAGCCCACCCTCTGGCTATTACCAGAGGAAATGTTAGTTTTGCAAGATTTTAATAATCTGTTTGTATCTACAGGGCGACATCATCAGCTTAGTTGGACCGAGGAAAGAGAGCTGGCATTTTGGCTACAACACACGAAGCAAGAAGAGTGGATGGTTTCCCATTACATTCACTCACTTAGTGCAAGTTCAAAATGGCACAGCTGAGTAAGGGACCTACCATTATTTTAGAATAGTGCGGAAACATACTTTGGGGTGCGGGAGGAGCCTAGGCTAAGCCAAGCCTAGCCAGACCCGACCAGACCCAGCCTAGCCTAGCATAGCATATCGTATCCTATTAACATACTCTTATGAAAAAGGTAAAATAATGATTTCAAAATCATCATTTTACTGTGTCCTTTTTAAGGGGTGGATAGGGTGACAGAAAAAATTGGGGATCCCTTAGATATCCAAAACCAAGGCACAAAACTCACCAATTGCATATGGAATTATCTAATGCTTTGCCTTATAAGAATAACATAACATTTTTATTTATTGTAGAAAAGGGGTTTTTTGAGACAACAACAAATGGTTCCAGTAAATTGAGACTTTAATACAATGCACTATACCAAGTCTAACATTACTTTACCAGTGACATAATTATTGAAAGTGATTTGTATTGTATTACATATAAAAGTAAAATAGTACAGTTACCTTGCAGTAAAAAGGCTTAACATTCTTATACTTTCATACACAAAAAAAAATTGTTGATATTATATTTGTTGTTATAGTTATTATTTTTATGTCTGTTTTTATGTCAATCAACAGACGATCTCGAATGTCCACTATGAGTGCTGATGGTATCGCCTCACTACAAGTAAACATCCCCTCACCGGATTATGGTGGCTTTGACACCTCTAAGGTGCCGAGAGCATCCTCAACGCCACAGACTTCCAACACCAACTTCCAGAATGCAAACCTAGTCGGTAATGGGCTACTCACCACTGGCTCTACATACCAACATCAAAATCAAGTCCAAGCTTTAAAACAACAGGTAACTAAATCACAAAAATGGAATTTCCATTTAACTGCCTTGTAAATATAATGTTATATTCCTTCATGATTAGGCCAAATAAATAAAATGACATGGTTCCCATCTGCTTTTAGAAAAAGGTAGATGATGCCCCTTTTTTCTGCTTCCTGGGTATATCACACACTCATATTTGCATATATCTTGGTGTACATACAAATAGCATGAGCCATGATTATCAATTTACTATACATTTTGCTCCATCTTTTTGCCTTTTTCTTTAATTAGAAACATGTAACTGCAGGATCTGATCGGGATAGTTTAGACAGTGGGCAGAGTGGCCACAGGGACTCGCCACCTCATCCTAAACAAGGACCATTCTCACCACCTGATGAAGTATTTGAGGAGCAACCACCAAGGTAACGCAGATTAACTAACCAATCAGCTGTAGACTTGACATTTATACTGAAGTATACTGAATTCGGCTATATTTTGTCATGACCATATTTGTATAGTTGTATATGGTCATGACTTTTAATTGATAATTATATTTTCTTATTACCATATTGATAATAGTAGTAATATTATTATTAATAAAATGTATATAAAGAATTACTAATTTTATTATGATTTATTTTTGAAGTAATATTTTTACTTTGTATAATTAAAAGTAATGGTAATGAAAATTATAATGAAAATAATGATTCCATTAATGAGAATAAAGCTCTAATTAAATTGTTCTCACAACTTTTTATTATGTTAAATTGTGGCCCTATTTTCATCCTATATGCCTGTTGAAATTAAACATCGAGGGCTTTCCATGTTGTGATTGGTTGTGGTGTAGCATGTACCCTTGTATGCTAGCCTTTAGACAGTACCAGCAGGTTAACCATGAGAGACCTACTTATATACAGATAGCTATGAAAGTAATGCTCTCACAGACACCCCAGAAAAGCATAAGAAATGCTATAGTTAGTCAAATACCGTAAAACCTTGAATAGAAGTTAAATGAACTTAATGTCGAGAAGAAGCCCATATTGAAGCCTCCCTCGTTAGTTTGCAAAAGTGGCCTCGAAAACATATATTTAAAAATTTGCACTGTAGTTTAGGTGGTTTAATGCCGGTTAATACACTCTGTGGTACAGATGTTACAGTGGCCCTATTTACAGTATTGTTTACAGCATACATTATAAAAAGAAGCTTCCCTCTTTACTTTGCAAAAGTAGCTTTGAAAAGAAGACAATCCAAAGTTTGCAAAAAAAAAAAAAAAAAATGCAGCAGCCCAGGTTTCACAGTATTTGTTGTTTAGGACATCATTAATCCCTGAATTGAATAATATGATTAGTTAATTCAAAATAGGATTGGAATGAGTAACTAGTCCAACCTCAGTGTTACACCGCTCTCAGATTCACATTCAACACCCCTTCCCCTCCCCCTTTCTCCCGCTCCCTTGATGGAATGAGTATTTAGTTGAGCATCTTTTCATTTTGTGTTTTTGTAATTTGTTGTGATTTTTAAATATGTGTGTACTTAGGCAAGTATAAAGATCCTTACTGTGTAGAAAATATACTGAACTGATAGAGAATAAAATATTTGGATTGGAAACTAAAATTTGTAGAGTATACAAATTTATTATCATCATTATCTTTTTTATCATCATCATCATAATCATATTTTTTAACCATTTTCATTATCATCATCATCATCATCATCATAATTTATGGTATTTCTTTTTTATCATGATTTTTTCATTTCATGTATTTAATCACAAATGATGATGATGATGATCATAAACATCATAACCTTCATCATCTTTTCCCTTATTATCATTATCTCATGATCTTCATCATCATATCATCACCGATAACAACATTAAATCTACTTGTTGTTGTGTAAACCCCACCACTAAAACATCTCTGGCTACTTCCTCTCCAGTAATCCTTTTGGTCATATCGTCTTAAGAAAAACCATCACGAACGACCGCTCGGCCCCAGCTATAGTTAAGGACATTTATGACACACCGACTATTGTCGTAAATGATTCACCACGGAGGTAGTAGTTGTCTGTCAGTGATGCACTCTTGCACCCGCATCTGCCACCGATCCCCCAGCATGCTTTGCATGTGTTGTTTTTTTCTACGTAGGGGGTGACTTGATATGTTGCTCTAAAAAATTATATGATACATTATACTTTTTTATATAATTTTGTTTTCTCAAACAATCAGCATCAAAGAAACTTCAAATTGCAAAGAACCTTGCATGAATTTTATACATCTTGCAAGCACATGTGTTTCTCATATAAAGAGCTGCTCACTTCTCCATGTTTGCACTTTGAAAAACCCTCCTGATTTTGTTTTGTTACCTTAAAACAAATAAAAAATGAAAATTTAATATGCAAAGCTAGTTAATATGGCAAATGTGAGATAAACATATGAATTATCATATCCACTAATTGAATTCCTATATGGGCATGAACACTCATACATACCAAGTCTCATGCATTTGGGGCGAAGCTCATATTTGGGGGTCTCTCTCACGCTCTAACGCTCTCACACTAATAAGGACCAAAATCTCATGCATAAGTGTAATGCCTTTATCAAAATATATGTTTTGTATTTGTGAACTTTGTAGCCCTCTTCGATCGATCCCCATATCCCTAGGGGGACGGAATTTTAAAAAATCTAGCGTCTGAAAATTTGTCTGGTAACTTGAAATCTCTGGAATACTTTGAATTGAAAAACTGCATGTTTCATTGACTTGACTTGCTTGACTTATTTCGAGCAGACTCAAACTCCATAAACTAACTTCTTCCGTACTTCTATATTCCATCTATCATCCTTTAATTCTTCTACCCTTATCCCAGGTTAATTAATTAATTAATTGACTATGATGTAGATTGTATGTATAAAAGCACAAATTATACTAAAAAGGAAAGCATACTAAATTAAAAGCTTAATACACTGTATAATTTAAAATTTGTTATAATTAATACAAGATGCAAAATTTCTTTATTTGTGTCCTTTCGAAAAATCAGTTGGTAAGTCACATCGCATAGAGGAGTGCGACAAGATTAATACATAACAAGGAACAACAATATAATTTTAATTAGGCCCTAAAACTTATTGTTAATATAATCACTTTATCCACCACAAGTTGAAATCTTTCTTCCTGAATACAGCTGTTGCTTCTACTGTATAATGCCGTTCTGTACACTTTACGCTGCACTTTGCATCGGGAATTACGTATCACTGCTGCATGCTGTTTGTGTGTTGCATCATGTTGTCTGCTTATAATCTAAATGCTATGGGAGTTTTTTATGTATCTTGTTTATGTGATGTATAATCTATCATAATTTAGATAATAACATTTTAAAGTCTTGGAAACAATTTCACCGAGACCTGTCCTTTTGTAAACATCTTTAAAAAAAAAAAACAATCAATTTTGAAAAAAATGTATATAGTTTTAATTGTAATTGGAAGATTCTTTATATTGTTAAACATTTTTGATATAAGTTTTCATGGATAGATTTGTTAACGTAGATTATATGTAATATATATAAAAAATACATATTTTAGCTTTTGACCTTTGAACAAGAATTTAAAACACAAAAATTAGAAATTCCATGCACCCAATGGTTGCTTGCTATTACCAAAAAACATCCTATTTTCTATATTTGAAGCCTATTTTCTATATTTGCTATGCCAGCATATAAGAAATACTGTATATGAAACCACATATTCAATGTAATTATACTCACAAGCCCTTAAGTCTAGCATGCTGAGAATGTCTTAATAACTATCATGATTCTTGTTGAAATGCTTGAGACAGTTGAAATGACTGAAAGTGTCACTTGATGTCTGCTAAGGGCCACCATTCATAACCAAAGTGATGTTTAACATCGACTGTTCATTGCCTTTTTTGACTTTGTCTTTTCCAAGATAGTAATTAAATGATTTACATGTACTACATACTGTACTAGTTTTCCTTTTTGCGTCATTTGAAATAAACCTACTGAAGGTAGGTTAGCCTGGTTTCCATAAAATCGCTACATTGTCACGACAGTGCTTTCAGTGCAATCGTTGTACTGCCTAGCAGTCCCCTACGCAATCGGAAAGGCTTCCCGATTTGGCCGACCAATCAGCCTCACCGAAAACTGTCGGCGATAACTGTAGCAATTTTATGTAAACCAAGCTTTACCTGACTAACTAAATACATACTGGTGTATAGTTTTTCTGTTTGCATTATTTGATATGTAAATTATCAGTGATATTAAATTTTGCTGATTATATGCACACTGCCCTCAATGGAGGGAAATAGTGATACTGTACTTTCCTGAGTAACTTCTGATCATTAAAATCATGAAAATTTTGATTTGTTCTTTAATGTTCATATTTCATATTTTTCATTCGCAGTAATCCTTTTACTGGTGTGCAGCTTCGTAGAACACAAACGAACGACCGCTCGGCACCACAAATTCCCTCCGACTACGCACTACCAAATAGTCCACGCTAAACTTCACTGTACTTCCACCCAGGTTTGTATGCAAATATAACATTGTGATTTACTGTTAATTGTGAACCATCACTCACCCAATGGATTTCGGTTGGTGAAATTATTACTGTGGGGCTAAGATTCTTGGTTACTAGTGACCCAAACACACCTTAACTGACTATGTTTCTTTGGGTATGGACATTACTCATCCCTGCCTAACCAGATGTCTGACATCGTTCACAAACATATTATTTTAACTAAACTCTTCAACTTGAAATAACTAATTCTTGTATATTGTCCATCCTAACTTAACCATGGTTTCTTGGGGTTTGGACATTAAAAATATTGACTGCTCATGAGGAAAGTGGTGAAATCTATTGCCCCTCAATTATGTGATGGGGAGACCGTAGCCCGAGGGAATGTAGTAGGCTTCGGTCTCCACATCACCAAGGGACTGTAAATTTCATCGTTCCTCGAATCTAGAGCAATGAATATTTGTTTTATATACCTCATACATAGATTGTATGAGACCTAAAGAAAGTAATGCAAAGAGTACCCACCAATTAGGCCGAGGCAGTCAAGGGCCAATCTGTCTCGTCGTAGAGGTCCCTTTTGTTTGTTTAATTTATTTCTCCACACACATGACCATATGAACATACAAAACAAAAGCTTAATAGTAAAACCAACTAAGAATAAGTATGTGGAAGGAGGCCCCTTAACGTCCGTTCGTGTCATATACAGCGATGTTATAAGTGGGGGCCTAGAGATTACATCACCATATGGAAAAAGTACTATCTATTAAACTGATAGCATTTTTCATTCAACCTATGTCACAGGAGTTATGGTTGAAGTTATTACCTGCTTTTTAACCAATTAGATGCCTGGAATCTATGTATGAGGTATAATAAGCACTAATGACTCCCCATTTGAATTTGTATATATTTTATTTGAGGCTGAATTGCATACTTAGTACCATATGCGTGCAAGTGAAATCGATACACAATAAAAAATTTTAAAATATTACTCAGGAAATGTGGGCATTAACATAAAAATTTCAATGAATGACCCGGAAATTATGGCATCCAATAGCTACAAATGTGTCATCAAAATGAAACAGAAAAAATATAATCTAAAATCTAAACTAATTTGGTTGTTTATATAGCGACTTTCTTTACAAATACGAAGCGCTGCAAGTTTTTCACTGGTCATTGGGTCCACATGCTTAAGTGTTGCTGTCACCCAGGCACAGGAGCAGGCAACCCCACCAGGTACCCATTTAAACTCCTGGGTGGAGAGAAGCAATGTTGATAAAGTACCTTGGCTCAAGGACACAAAATGCACAGCGAGGGATTGAAACCCTAACCTTGAGGTTGAGAACCAAACTGCTTCCAATCTAAATTGATCTATTCAAAACTTGAATATGAGATTGAGAGAAACTCATAGTAAAATGCATGATATCCTTACGTCCTATTCTATTCTATCTTACAGATGTCATCTGGGACGAATATGATGATCACCTGGAACACAACAAGATTAGGTGCTCAGATATGCAAATGTGAACATAGAATTCGGTCATTTCATCTAAGTTCAAACGAAATTCAGTAAATTACACTGGTGCTTGTGTTTAGTTTAGTGCCTTTTTTGAAAGTAAAAGAAGGTTTTACATATAAGAGATGAAATGTTTTGGATTGCAAATGCATTCTATGGTTTTATGAATTATCTAAGGACCCTATGTGATAAATTACCATAGAGGTGGAAAATGTTGCCATGGAAAATTAACATGGCATGTGTTACCATGGAAATTTAATGTGAAGAAATGCCTTTTTTAAGTATGAAAAATGATAATATAAACATGAAAATTTATCATATTTACTGTAGAGGTTCTTCTGGTTTTCATAGCATCTGTTTGATTAATAATTGCAATTGGGTTAGCAATTTGTTACTATGGAAGAATTCTTCTTTTTGACCTTGTAGAAGTTACCATGGTGATATGTCTAATTTCCATGGAGCTTTACAATGTGCTTATTGGTGGTGCTATTTTCAACAAATTGTCTGTAAATAGAAAAAAAAAATGCACTTTTTTAGCTGGATTCTGTTTTGTAGAAACAGTTTATGCCCATAAAAAAGAGTCACAAAAAGCGTGCTATAAATGTGGGCCAAGTATCTGAGTAAAGAATATGTTAAGAAATAACAGTATGCTATTAGTTTTATTAATTGGTATTTTATGTTACTTTTCATGATCATGTTATACAATTGAGTTAGTAACGAACAAGGATCTTAGAATTATTGCCAGAATTCATTAATGACCAAATTTCAAAAATTAATTCCAAATATGTAACCAAAAGCAAGCCAATGTTCAGATAATTCTAGACTAGTCTGTTGTTTTTCAGTGATTATGAACAAAAAATTAATATTTTTTACAAGATGTTTAAAAGTTGTCTACTACCATAATAAGTATTTATAATGCCAATTTTGTGTGCTAAATTAAAACTACATTTGTGTAATCATTAGAAACAAGGTACTATCTGTCTTAACATATAGTAGTCTTTTATTACTAACAAGTTAACATGAACAAACAAATGAGGTTTTTTTTTATAACTCATTTGACTTTTGCTATTAGTTGTACTATTATTTTAGTATCATGATTGTTATGTTTATCGCACAATATTTTGCCGACAGTCTATGCCATATTCATTGGGTGAACATTAACTAGCACTATCAAATTCTTGTGTAGCATGCCTCCTATCAATTTTTAAGTGGCTAATATTTGTAGTGTACCCATATATGGGCATGATTGTATGAAATCACATCCATATATGGACATGATAATGTCAAATTGCACCCATATATGAGCAAATTACAGATACTTGTCACATTAAACTTTGTATGGGCAGAACTTTACTAATTACATTTTTTTTTTGTCAAGAGAATATTTTTTAATGATAAATATTTATACATATAATCAACCTATCCATCTGATATTTTTTAATTTTATAGGTTTAATGGTTTCTATAAATTAAAAAAGTCACTGGTCTTCTTACTATACCTATCCATGTAATATTTTATAAGATTAAGAAAGATATTAAACGATATTTAAATAAAAGTAAACTTTAGAATAATGATAGATCATTTGGTGATACCACTCCTACTAATACAATTCTACTAATAATAATAATGAATGCTATAAATACAAATTGTATGCGCACACATATTTGGAATAAAGAAGACTTGTAGGACTATGCAATGCACATTTCTCTACTTGTAATAGGGTTTATAGTTTATGGAATTTTTTATCAGATATTTTTAGTTTTAAGTCAATTTGTATTATCTGTATCTCATGTTTTATGTTGAAATTTTAATCAAACTATTATAAAATATGTTTATTATATATTTTCAATTAGATTTTATTTGACTATTATATTTCTCTAGATATATGGTGTATTTTATATTGTTGATTGTGCAAATTTATGGTTTTGGTTATTTTAGAATAATCACCAATGGATAGAGTTTTAGCAAAGTTTATATATTAAATGTTCATGTTTTTGGGTCTTTAATTATAAGTTCTTAAGAATACCATTCATGTATATAATTTAAATCATTGTTGGTATTGGATGATTTTACATGATTGTGGTGGTCAATTTGTTCAATTTTATTAACAACACTATTAATAGTTATTTTAAATTAATTATTTCCCACCATTGTGTAGCATAAGTAAAATGGTATCCACCTCCCACCACTTTTCCTACAGTACATTAATTTTGACTTTGTTACAAGTTGCCTGATTACTGTATATATGCTGCTACAACAACCAAAAACTACAACTACTCTTTTTGACTATTACTACTAAATAACTGCTGCTGTTACTAATATATATTGTATATTTTTACCACTACTACTACTACCACCACCATCAATACCACTGCTTCTACCACCGTCATCACCACCAAATACTACAAATTTGATGTCATTGATACAGTAACTGAATTAATTATACAAGCGAGTCTGAATAATGTCACAGTGCCATCGAACTTTGCTTGCAGTTGATTCTGGTGCTTTAAAAATGTTTGAAGGTTGATTAATTCTGCTGCTCAAACTAAAGTGTATTGCCTATGTCATTTAAAATTTCTATTACTGCTTCTGCAGAATTACTATTACTATTTTCAGGGGTGGTGCCAGCTTTTACTCAAGTTCCCCGATGGATGGCCCAGAGTCCACACCCACCTCAGCCCTACCATGCATAATTTTTCCCTGACAAATTTAACTGTGTCCCCCAGATGGTTGGGCCAAGTTGCCCCGACGGCAGGCCCAACTGGCGTCACCCCTGACTACTATGTAACTATTATTTCTACTACCCATGACATCTACTTCTTTCACTACTAATATTTTGTACATTATTGTAGAATTTTGATTATCAACTTGATAAGTTTTTTTCTGGATTATGTAATTATGGTTTAAGAACAACTGAATTATCGCCAATTTTTTGTTGATGTGCAAATATTTTATCTGTCCATTTTGTGTGCTATTTTCATTATTTTTAATCAGCTATGATAATTATATTTTTCAATTCTTGCCGTGTTATAACAATGGTTCATAATTTTGGATTGTCTTAAGATTTTCTGTGTATGTCTCAAAAGGGTATTCTCTGCTCCTCATATTGTATTTATGCTCAGCGGTGGCTCCAGAAATTGCTGACGGGGGTCCAACATGTCCAACAGGGGGTCCGAACCAAAGGGGCGATTAGGGTTTCGGTCAGGGTCCCCGAATATAAAACCCCTGGTAGGATTCATGTGCAGAATTTTTTATGGCAATAGTAAGACCCAGTGCTTTAGACCACAATATTAGGGATTTGGCAATCAAAATAACATTACTTGGATAAGCAAATTATTATTTTTGATCCGACGACCTCGTCGTTGCATCAGACGACAGGGGACCAGGCTTTCCCCCACTTCCCACTGGTGCTACCACTGATTATGTTATCATCATTATAATTTTGGTTTACACTTAAAGAGTTAAAGTTCATATGTTGGATCCATTGTTTATCTTCCTATTGCTTTACCAGTTGCATGGTGTATAGTTTAAATCCACAGCTACCTAAATGTTGTCTCAGATTACTGAGGTAGTTACTATTTTAAGATGTTAATCAGAAAAACATTTTTAAAAGGTTCTGTAACAGCCTTAAGTCATATTCGTACTTATCAGTATGACCAATAAGGAGATTAAAATTTTTACGAAAAAATGAATACAAATACGTCATCTTATCAGTGCCATAATTCGTGACTAAAATATTCTTAATACATTTATGATTTATGATCGTTTATTGATTTGACAATGACGACGCAACCGTATTCGTTATCATTTTTGTTGGCTTGCCTAATATGAGCTCTTGTGCTCGTAAATGTGGCCATAGATAAAAAAAATATATCTCCAGGATGTCTGTATTTTACACAGATATAAAGGCATGATTATACCACTGCTAATTAATTTTTGATGGATATTGACAGAGCTACAAAGTTGTCAGTTTTTTAAACCATTGATTTTCCAATTGGATGTGCACTTTCTGTCAGCTTATGATATAACTCTTTATTTTATCAGTCTTGAAATTTGCATAATAAAAAATATTCTGTCCAATTGTCTCTGTTATCACGTAGCAATAAGAATTTAAAATCAAATTTTGTTAACTTTGTCCAGTCGATTCGACAATACTTGTTTATAGTTTGGGTGTAAATTTGGTTTTATTTCAATACTTTAGTCATTTATCATTGTTAGGCAGATCAAAATATGTTTCTCTTTTTGCCTCAACATTGTATTATTATTTTTATTTTTTTTTATTTCACAAGGCAAAGCAGCCAGAAATAATTGTCATTAGCATTTAGTAGTAGCCAGCCTGAATAGGACAAAATCCACCAGATCTTGAACTGGTCCATTGTGAAAATGGGTATGGACGAAAAATGATATGGGTGTCAATAATAGGAAAACAAATTCATTACAACAAACATAATACTCTCCCTGTATTTGTAATATTAAAATGTTTATTGTACACTCTACTGTCACAATGGCCCATTATCGGGTGGCTTTTATCGTCTGACATTGTCTTAGAAGAGGAAAGAAAACACCTCATCCTCTATCTTTTGGAAAAAGAAAATGTACAAGAAACATTTTTTTTCATTTTATTTGTTCGAACTAGATTTTTTATATTTTTAGATGAACGGAATATGAGCAGTGTTTGTTGTCAAGGTGCATGCATGCGAAAATATTGCAAAAAATGCTTGATTAAAGAATGATAAGTTTGTGTATGCTACGAAAGAAAAAATTAAGAAATTTTGAACTGGCTTTGAAATTTGTATAATTACTTCCTTATTGTAGATCTTTATTCCTTTCGAGTTATGTGTAATAAAAGGAACTTTTGTTTTTGTTTAAATTTGTTAAATGTGGAACGTATTATTGGAAATAAACCATAATGAAGTAGCCCAGTGATTGTTACTTGTCTTTTGTCTACACTCGAGTTAAATATATTAGCATTTAAATAAATAAACTATGATAATAATAATAATAAGATTTATAAAGCGCACAAATCCACTGCAGTAGTGCTCAAGGCGCTACAGGAAGGAACAAACAATTACCAAGAACCTAAAGCTACAAGAAAAGAAACACCACACATAATGGTGACAGCTGGCAAGAAAAATAAAAATCATATAATAAAAGAGGGCCTATGAAACAAACTCAGGAAAAAAAAGTGATACAAACCATTGTAATTTCAATATTTCGAACTTTATGACGTCATATATACAAAATAAACCAATCATAGACGCGATTGAATGCCCTGTACATTTTAAATCGTACGTTATATTATTCAATTAAGGGCAAAAATGGCTTACACAAAATACTTCAATAACAATAATACAGTATGTCATATATGGCCTTAACAGCAGTGAATAGGTAGATGCAAGCAACAGATGCAACATAATCAATTATTATTGTTACATTTTTATTAATTATATTTAAACTCATTATTATTACATTTTATTGATAAATTATTGTTATTAAAATATTATTACTGTACTATTATTATTGTGCATATTCTAAGGTATATTTACTAGAACAATTCTTATACAGTATTTCAGTTGTTTATTTACATTTTTGTAAACTTCGAATGATGCAGAGAGATAATTATTAAATAAGAAGTTGATTGACACTTGAATTTCATGTTGATTTTTAATTTTGCCTGTAGCCTATGACAGTGTGGTGATGATGATTGTTAATTGCAGTACAGTATAATAATGGTTAAAATACAATTTAATTAAACAATATAGAAATGCCAAAATCCTCTGTTTCCCTTCGAAGACTGGGTATTTGTTCCAAAATAAAAAAGTCACAGGTCTTAATGCCAACATTTCTTTCGTGTATGTAATTGCATATAGGCCTACATGATAAGCCTACATAGCAATATTGTACTGTATACGCAATAACAAATACAAAACACAAACATTGAAGTGTTGCATGACCATTGTGAAATGTACCACCTCATTTCATCATTATTACTTAGTCAAGATTTTTATCATATTACTTAATGAAGATTAACAATCTTGCTTAACAATAAAAGCAACATTGTAATACATTACAGTATAATTATAAAAATAATACTAAGACTAATGATAATAATATTAATGATTATAATATTTATAATAATAATAATAACGGTAATAGCAATGATAATAATATACAAATATTACAATAATAATAAAATAATGATAATAATTATTATTATTATTATTATATGAATAATAAAGAGTGGCTATAGATGTAATTTTATGCAAAAAAAAGGGTATCTGTGCTTAACAAATATATGTAGGCCTACATAGTTCGGGTGCTCAAATTAAATATAGGCCTACATTGAAACTCACATTGGCTTTATTAATAATATTTTTGCTTATGTATCAACAAACACTGCCTGAAATCGTTTTTAAAACCGCTTAAAAATGGGGCTGGATCCCCTGCCGCTTGGACCCCCCCCCACCCCCCAGCCAACTGGTATAGTCACTCACACATTTCAAATCTCAGGTTGGTAACTATATTGAAGGTTCATGTTGTTAACAACGATAATGATGATTACGATGACTTGTCGAATTCTTTTTTGTAAGATGGAGAATGTGTGAAAGGGAGATTCTTTCTGATGTCCATGTTTTCGTAGCGCATAGCAATGAATGTTATGTTATTCGAAACAACGGCGTTGCAGTAGAGGTTCTACCTGTGCCAAATCTATTTTGCAATCATGAGGAAGCTGACACAAGGATGATTCTGCACAGTGTGTGTGCAGCAAAGTCAAACTGTCACATTGTTGTTGTCAATAGCCCAGATACAGTTGTGTTTATTTACTTACGGAAATAATAATAATAATAATAATAATAATAATAATAGGAAGTTATTATAATTATTATTATTTTTATTATTATTCTGTTGAATATTAGCCGTTTAAATTAAACTTACGGAAATAATAATACCAAGTTTTATTTTTCATAGGGTATCATTGCAATTTACCAGGTGAATCTGAGATTTAATTATTCACATTATTCGCAATAGATACAATATTAACTTATAATAATCCATTAAGAAAATGTGACTTTTACACTAAGAAAGCTGTTTTTAAAGACATATTGTATTAAATTATAACTCTTATAATTACAGCCATGTAATGTCTAATTTGCTCATAAATCCTAATACTTTAGACCATAAAAGGCCGTTACTAAGGAAAAGGGGATCTTAGCAACGAAAATAGCGTAATCCATATATATTTCACATTATATCTCATTATTATGCATTATGTATTAATATTTTTTACGTGTTCAGACTCTACATATGAATAGTTAATACAACTGTGTATATTTTGAGAAAAGAAATGTACACTCATGGTAGTGTTAGTAAATGCACCGTTGGTAAAGGAAAACCTCCATAGCAACCGAAATATTGATATTTTTGTGGTTTTTAGCTTTTTTTCTTGTTAATGTGCAGGAATGGAACGTGAACAATGATGGTGACTTAATTAACATAAAAGCAAGTACAGTACTTCCATGGTATGTATTACGGAAGTCAAGAAATAAAGCCTTTTTGAGGTCTTTGTTGGCCAACGGCGTAAAACGTTTGCTCTGACATTAATACATAAATACTCACCAAACTGTAATAGCAGTACCAACCTACAGAATGCTTATCTAATAATATAATTGGACCTATAACATTCATTAAAGTGTTAATACACATTCTAGATAAATTATGAAAATGGTAATGGTAGGATGGATATTTTTGACAAAACGAAAAAAAAAAAAACCCCAAAAAAACCAGCAAACCTATAAGAAAAACTACGAGTCTCGTATTTTATATTTATGTATTCTTTTATTATAATTTTTTCCATCTGTGTATTATTGGAAGTTATCCTTTTCCGTTTGCAATGGAATTTTTGGAGATTTTGTTTTCAAATTTTAATTTTATAAAATAAATATTTTCACTACAAAAGAAATAATTGAAGATTGAAAAAACGGGCCGCGCGTAATCATGCCCTATAAAACTATCCAATTTCTGTATCTTCCATCGTTTATACCATTTAATTCTAATTAATATTCTTGACTAGCAAAATGCCTTCTTTTCATATCAAAATAATAATATGTCGAATCGATGATTATGCATCAATCGTTGGAAATCGAAAAATCGGGCATGTCTGGAAAAATCTATGATTATTTTTCCAGTCGACTGGTCACGCAGGAGATCCAGGGAAGGGACTGTCGGAGGGTTGTTATCGGTTGTACGACGCAGGCGCAGACTATACCGATGTCACGCGAAAATAATGGCGGATGAGCTGAGTAGTGGTAAGTACAGTTCCGCCCATTTCCTTTCAATGTATTATAGTATCTATCGTTTGATTTTAATGTTTGTTACAGTTTATATAATTGCTAGTTAACATTCATTCTGATTATATGTATTTGAGACGTTTCTGTTCCTAACACAGGCTCTGTTCCCCCGTTTTACCGGGAGGTTTACGATATCGTATGCCCTAACCAGGAGGCAAAGGTAGACCGCGATGTCTTCGTCAAGATCTTAATGAAATCCAACCTTCCAAAGACCACGTTGAGTCAGGTACCGTTTTGTGATTGAAATAGCGTTATGATGCAATATTGGAATATTATTTTTAAGGATTGTCAAGCTCCATTTTCGAAATGGCACTACCCTGCGGTGTAGTGATGCATGAACAATACAATTGTACTGCTGAGGTCGCATGCTGCTTGTGCTGCTAGGCCTAAGTAGGCTAGCAGAGGCCCTCTCTTCGCATGTAAACACATGCTTTGCCAGGGGCGTAGCAAAAGGGACATATGCGTGTATAATTACTGCATAGGTCTGGCCCAAACTCGGCAGTTGCTACTAATACTAGCCTAATAGCCTTGGACTAGAATGCTTTTAATGTTTTGAATTTTACAATATTATATTTAAGGAAGTAGATATACTTACGTTGCCGTAAACAAATCAGTAAATAAACGATATATTTACGTAAATGAAACAACGCATGTGCAGTCATATCTTTAATAAACTTAAATGTACGTGTTAACGCAGAGATCAACTTTCAGATTAGCATTGGCCTTTTGCTGAGGCCCTTTTTTGGCAAGTTAAAATTTATGAATGTACTTTACCATGAATCCACGGTGCACGATAATCAAATCTTCAAACGTGGACGTGTTTATTACAGTCATGACACAACAATTTTTCTTGTAAAAACAAATGGTTTCTACTCTTAAAAAGCCATTGCAGGATCGAATCGACTGAAAATCAACGCACATGGGGAATCCCTAAATTGGTTGAATGGTTTAAGACTAGCAGATATGTACAGTATTTAAATTATAATTTTGCCGTTTTTACTAAACGTAATTAAATTTGCTGCAGTAGTAGCCTATGTATTTCAATTAAATAAAATAATTGAATGATTGTGATAATGAGCTAGAAGTATTTATTTCACTATCTCACATCATGACCACAACGTCGAGCGAGGCTGTTCATTCCACGTTCTGCATCCAAACTTCGTAGACACATGCATATCATGCCAATGTTGCTTTGTTAGTGATCAGACTATTTGGGAAAATATGTTTGAATAAAACATTAAAAATATTTGTTTTGTCTTACTATGGAGAAGTATTTTATGTATTTTTACATCTCCCTGGTCTTATTTTTTCGTTATGATTCAATATCTTACAGAAAATACACGATTATTCGTTGTTTACTTCTTGCTTCACATAGCGTACAGTACTTTGTACAGTGAATCATGTGCAGTACCAAACATGGTCTTCCTGTATGTTCTTCACGATCGATCGGGGCTCGACCCGACTAAAGACTATAACGATGTTGTTTTTGTTAGTGACGACGTGGGTAAATGTGTTTGAATGAAAACATTAGGATGTTACTTAATTTGTGATGATTGACTATCATATAACAATACACTAGGTAGTCCTAGAAGAATATCGTCTTGATTTCCTGATAATTGAGTTTTAGCAAGGAAACCTTGCGTAGGTCTAGGCCTGGTATTTGGATCAAGTGTGTTCATTCAACAAATGATTGAGTAAGATGAACATAACATTTGCAGCTCATAATATCGCTTTTATTTGAAAATTTAACACAATGATTTAATAATATATTTAGTGATTAGACTACTCATACTGTGCTGTTGTAGAAAATAAAATTTAATAAAAAATAAAATACAAAATTGTAAATTAATTTGTGCCGTGGTGAACTTGGGGGAATCACCGCGGCTTGGGAGGCCATGCTAATGTCGAGTGCTGAAAATGCAAGTTTATTAAAGTATGACTGCGCATGCGTTGTTTCATTTACGTAAATATATCATTTACTGATTTGTTTACGACGACGTAAATATATCAACTTCCTATATTTAATTAATATTAATAATAATAATAACTATTTATTAATAATTAATATTATTATCTTCATCTGTTTTGAAGAGGGACTAGAACCCTTGCCTGTTTTACCTGCCATCATTCACGATTCTTCACGACACAAACAGGAGTGGCGGGCAAGCAAGCAACGGTATAGCAGTGGTTTTCCAAATGATTAGTAATTTCTACTAATACTATTGCTAGTTTTTTGCCTGCAAAGCTTGGCTGCATGGATGCTTGTAATGAAACAAAGCAGGGATAGTATATCATATTATACCCAGCAACACAAAGGTGTTTTGTGCTTCATTTCAATTTTGTTTTTCATGTTAGATATGGGTAGCTGTTGACAATAAGCAAGGCTTCCTAAATAGGAATGGCTTCTATAAGGCCTTGGCACTTACAGCATTAGCTCAACAAGGCAAGCCTGTTAATGAAAAGCTTCTAGAGAATTTTGCAGACCAAGGTAGGCAGAGTTAGCTATGTAAATATGCATGTTCTTGATTGAAAGTTCACAATGATAGTTCACTTTCAATTCCTATTTAATGCCTTAAATTCTTTTCCTCTTTATGGTCCTTCTAATTTCTAATTTGTATGTTTATTTTTATTAACTTCCTTTTAGTCTTGTATTGATTTTGTATCGGTTTAAAAATTAGGAGCTGTGATGTTTTGTAGTAATGTCTTGTTGTTTCATCCAAAATTACTGTAGTTAAGATTTACTTCTCATACTTTTCATTTTTATTTTATCTGTAAAATTGTAAAAAAAATTTTTTATGCAAATGCAATTATTTTGTATAAAAAATGCAATGTATTAAAGTGCCTTTATGAATGAATGATATATGGAGAGTACTCTACGCATAGAAATTTGTGTTCATTTTATTAAGTACTGTAAACATATATCAGATAAGTTAAAAATTTAAAAAAAATTACAAATTGTTCAATCCTAAATATCAACAATATCAAGATTCTTCACATTATTTAAATATTGTCTCAATATCCAGTTTATTAGATTGCAATGTTATCCGATTTTCACCCCTTCTTTAGAGTTACCAAGACCGTCTTTAGGTGATTTAACCGAGTTGAAAACTTTAACAGTACAAGTACGGAAGGAGAAAAATCCCAGTGTGCTTGGCTTCAATTATAAACAACTCCAAGAGATGGATGTTGTGTCCGTAGGATTAGTACCGGAAAAGAAAGGATTACTATTAAAGCATGTAGAATATGAAGTTCAAAGTAATGTAAGTATTACAGCATTATGCTGTGTGAAACTGTAAACCTGTTAGAAAGAGTTATGATATGATAACATTCTATGAAATCTAGGATGTTATCCTTTCAATTTTACACTCACTATGCCTTATTAGCATGTTTAGTTTATGTAATATCACAAAAAAAAACACAAAGAAAAAAGCTGTTCACAACTAAAAAACACTTTTGTCTGCCTCTTAATACTGTTGTTCCTCTGATGCAAACTCATCCCTTTTTGAACACAAAATTAGGTCAATTGTCGGGGGTGGGCTAATACCTGGGGAATCCCCTTTACAATTTTTCAGCAGTGTCTGCTATCAGTTCCTGATGATGACATAATGTCAAATCATTGAATCTCGACACGATGGCATGCATTTCGATAGTTGGAGTATGTATTATACTATCTTGTCCGGTAAAGGTAGGAGAATAACCCAAAACTCGCAGCTTCCTTGTGATGAATCGCGTATGGGCGTGGTCCGTGACTACCTAGCAGCCGTAAAGAGGCGTTTGTAGTAGCTACATGTTCATATCATTCCACGACGACAGGTGTTCAAATGAACCATAGCATCGGGATAACCCCCTACTCTTCCAATAGATGCACACGAAGCCGATGTGTACACTGGATCTCCATTTTTAAGTCCTTATCCCTCCGAGAAGACTTGAATCTACCAACCGAACCCGCACCGATGTTAAGGCTGTAGTTAGCGGCTCCCCTGCCTTACCGCTCGCCCAAGCAACTCAAAACCCAAAGCCTTTTTCACTTTTTCTGAAAGCATTGCTATAACCAATCAGCTAGGCTATTTGTTGAAATCATTCCCTGAGCTTTAGCCTGAGGGAAGGCTTGTACATACATTTGGGCATAAAGAAGATAATGGGCTTATACCTGAAGAACTACCATACCAAATACAGGGCTGTAGCTGAAGAAAACTAAGGGTGGGTGATAACAATTTTGAGGGTGGTTACGTGATAACATTGGGAAACTCTAAATAATAAGAGTGGATTTTAAGAATGGGAAAATGGGTTAATAAGGGTGGGTGGAGGGCCATGAAATTAGCTTTAGAAAACTTCAAGGCTGAGTGGCCCACCTCCACCCATCATAACTACATTCCTATGTACTGTATATGTTATATTTAAGTGAATAATGTGTTTTGGAGAAAAAAAATGTATTTTAGTATCTTGCTCGTATGTTTGCATTTTCCAATTAAATGTATATATTTTAAATGTGTGTTAATGTTAATGTGATTCCTGTTGTTATATATTTACAGTTTTACAAGACAACTGTGATGCGACGTTACAATGATTTTATCGCTTTACATGAAGTGTTGCTGCAGCGATTCCCTTATCGATTGGTTCCAACTCCGCCCCCTAAGAAAATGATGAGAGGTTTGTAATTTCTTTATCATTTTTTTAATGCTAAAATCTGGAAAACCCTTTAAAACGTTAATGCAGTTATTAAACGTAGGCTCACAGCAGGAATGTGTGTTTACTGCTTGATTTTGTTTTTTTTTTTTTTAACTCATAGCCCATCCACGCTCTCTGTGTTGGCACATTCGCATGTATAAACTGTGCAAGTACTGTAACAGATTGTTGGTTTTTTAGTTCTTTCTGGGACTGGTCAGGGCATGGCATATTTCGGATAGGCTTACCGTAAATGCTTGAATAGGCACTGCTCTTGAATAAGCGCTGCACCAAACCTGATTTTTTTTGCTTAGTGCTGCTCTCAAATAAGCGCCACGGTAGACTGCATCATTTATGTCTTTAGTTAATGACTCATCCCATCATTCCTCAAACTGGATTTACTCTCACAGTTTCCAAGTCAGACGATTACGAAAAGTGTCTACAGCCCCCATGGGGCAGTAGACACATAAAGTGTACAGTTATTTCAAGTACTTTTAAAAGTAACAGTATTTTCTCTTTGAAATTACAGGTAAAAAATAATATTAACTGAAATGTACAAATTGACATACTGTACTTTAATTGTAGCCAGTGGCTATTGTTACACCAGTCTTAAATGGATTTCTGATTGGATGTTATTGTCCTAATCCAATTCATACATACAATAACATGCAATCAGAATTGGTTTATTATTTTAGGTTAATAATAGCCTCTGCTTTTACAGTTATTTTAATATGTAAGATCTTAAAATTGTGATCACTCAGCCTGTCTTTTATTACTAACTATACTCCCGAGTGAAATTTCAGACCATTTAATATTATACTCTTTATCTTTACCAGTTACTAGAGAGTTCATAGAGTCGCGTCGGAGGGCGCTTCGTAGGTATCTGACGATGATCTGTAGACACCCTGTTTTTCACGAGAGTGCCATTACTAAGTTTTTCATGACCTTTCAGGGCTCAGTAAGTTCTAAATTTGAATAATGATAATAATAGTAATATTTATACACACAAGTCTGACTACCAACTTTCTTTAGTTGGTGCCAAATATTTTCTACTGGAAATTGGCTAAATACATTTATTATTAATAATATTATTATTATAATTCAACCAATTTTCTTCAAGTCATGTATCTGCATACCTTACTCTCGTATCACGTAGGAATTTATTTGTCACCTGTGGTACATACTACATAGTAGGTATCTCATGCAGAGTTAGATGAACAAATATATACTGTAAAACCTCTAATAGAAGCCCTCGGCTGCCTCTGTTTTTTGAGGCTTTGGATGGGCTTCTTTTCGAGATGGGCTTCTTTTCGAGATGGGCTTCTTTTCAAGATGGCTTCTTTTCGAGACTAATTTTCCAAAGTAAAGAGGGGGGGCTTATTTTCAAATGAATGTTGTAAATTCTGGGAATTACTACAACAAAACAATAAATAGGGCCACTGTAACATCAGTCTGTATCATGGAGTGTATTAAGCTACATTTACACTAGACACGATAACGACATGACAACAACACGATAAAAATGCGCTCAGTGTTGAAGAACATCAACAATGCGATATGTCGTCGTGTTGTTACTGTGCCTAGTGTAAACGTAGCTTTAACCGGCATTTAATTACCTAAACTATTGTATAAACCAAGCATGTTTTTAATATATTTTGTTTCTTTGAAATTCATGTACAGTGTATGTACTGTACTATCCCAAAAAGAAGCCCATGCTAACTTGAAAAGAAGCCCATGGGCTTCTTTTCGAGGCTACTTTTGTAAACTAAAGAGGGGGCTTCAATTCGAGATGGGCTTCAACGATTTGGTGGTGCCTGAGAATTCCCCAAAAATTTAAACTTTGAAGGCTGATTTTTTAAAATACTAATCTTGTATGTTTAAATGCCTGTAACTTCGCAACAAAATGTTGGATTTTAATGATTCTTTTATATCTTTCACACCCTGCATTAATAACTAAAAATCGACTTTTGCCAGAAATGACTGGTTTGGCTTGTCTTTGCCAAATACTCTTCAAAAACCATGGGACTGAAGTTGGATATACTGTACAGCCCTTTTTTTTGTGATTTTAAAATTTGAGATATTTCACGCCCTAAGTTTTCACAATCATCATTTTATTTCAAAAATCACGAAAAATAAAGGGCTGTACAGTATAGCTGAATGATTAATGATTGCTTGATTAATAGATTGATTACATGATTGATGGTTTAAATTGATTAATTGGTTGAATGGACGGTTTCTTGAATGTTAAAATTATTAATCGATTGATTGATTTAATGATTGATTATTGGTGTTTTTGTAGGATATGCAGCATAAGATTAAGGAGCAATTTCGTGGCATTCCAGATGAATTTATGACAAGTCCATTAGCTGCTCAAGCAAAGGTAAATATAGTGTAATACTACTGTATGTCCGCACTACAAAGATTTATGCTACAAATACCTGCGATGTTCAAATGTATGAGCATGATATGAATTCATACTGTAAAATCTCAAATAGAAGCTCTGGGCTACTTGTTTTTTAGATGGACTTCTTTACGAGATGGCCTAATTCTCAAGACTAAGCCCATGGGGCTACTATTCGTGGTTTTAAAGTATTTGTATTGAAACAATAAATATATTATAAAAACATTCATTGTTGANCCCCCCCCCCAGGAAAGAGAGACAGGCACTCCGGCCTCTGAACGCAGAGCTTGAGGTTTCGACCTTTACCTTACCTGAAGTTGACAATCATGATTTATATATTTTTTTAGGATTTGGTTCCTATTGATACACAAGTGCAGTTTGCTAACAGTAGAGATCAAATCAAGAATATATTTGACAGCATCTATAAACTTAAAACAATAGTTGATAACGTCACAAGAAGGTCTGCTGGTAGGTATATGAAATATTTAGTATTTTATTATTATATATAATAATTAGTATTTTTTATGATAATAATGTTGTGGTGTGTACTGTCATCTGCATAAAAAGAATTTTCTTGTAGCGTTGCAGGTACATATTAAATACAGGTGGCTCCATATCATTAATGAACAGAAGTGCATAAAATAACTTGGTATTATGCACCATCTAAGCTATTAGTATTATGCCAACCCTTTGTTAGTTGTAAATATTAGAAGGAAGGACACCGAACAACTATCTGCTTGCCAACAACATTTTTTATGCACCATTTAAAAAAAAAAAAATAGAAATGGTTAATGAGATACAGATTTTTGAATATGTAAAAGGGTGGTTACACCACTTTTCCCCTAGTTTTTAAATATTCAAAAATTGTATCTCAATAACCGTTCTCAAGTTTTCCATCAAAATATGCTTTTTGTGTCTAAGAAAAATCAGTTGTACAACATATCGAACATTTTTTTCATTCGGAGCCTGACTTTAACCCTTTCCATTCGTATGGCATGGCGACGACGCCCTCTTTGACCATACTTTATAGCGAGGGGCGTCATATGTACGCCCTGTATAGGTTTTCTGATAATTTGTTTTATAGCTATGCTGCCCTCTATATAATTGTTTTTAAAGTGATTTAGGAGTATTTCTGAAGAGGGTCTCCTGTATTAAGACCAAATAAAATGTCTGGGCAAGTAAAAACCCGATATTTAGTGTAAAATGATGTAATTTCTCAGCTTTGGTACAGCCTCAGGCAATGGTAATGGGGCAGACTGGAATGAGTTAAGCAACATCGTCATCTACATGGGCCTGTGCACTGAACAGTCAGGACCAACAATGACCACTCCAAGCATTAAGTGCTGGGGTTTATTTATTCGAACTACATAATATATGCACACATTCATGCATAAAATGTCAGTTTCATAAACTAACTCCATTAATTATGCCTCCTTTACAAACATCAATTAAAATTTTTTTTTTCAATTTAATAACTTGTGGGGCTGTTTTTGACCATGACCAGTTCAGGGATTTATTATAATTTGTCTGTTGTATTTCAGAAAATTCTATTGATATGTTACAATTTGCAAAAGAGCTGAATCAAATGAGTGGTGATTCTCAGCCAGCGTCGGCCTGGGCTATGGGTACAAATGATGGCTGGCCGCAAATTAAAGGAGGACTGAAGACTATCGCAGTCGAGTTTGCTGCCCTCTCTGACAAACATGGCCAACAGGTAAAAAAATGAGAAAATATATAGTGACAGCATTTAAAACAATACGTTTTACTCTTGTAATAAACAAGTAAAAATAAATTGTAAATTATAACATATAAAACATTCTGTCGGTAAAAAAAAAAATCTAAATTAACGTGATTGCTTATTTATATTAAAGTAAGTTGTCTTTCCTTCGAAAACTGGAACAAAAACATTCTCATTGCCAATTTATTTCAGTACACATTAGAACTATGGTAATGAACCTTTCTGAACTGTCAAACTTAACAACTGACCAATCAGAAGAACGCCAGGAATGTGGGCGTATCTAACAAGAACACATGTTGTCCCACACACACACATATTAACAGCAGGGAGCTTTCGATTTGCTCGACGATGCTACGCTAGAACGGAATCACTCATGCGTGACCGTCCTACCAAGCGTCCCATGTTCTCTGCATACGTAGATTTGGCCAAATTGCGTCCTAGAATCCACCTGACAAGGAGAACTTAACGTTCTCGCATGCACAGATGACTTTTAGTGAGGACATTTCGTTCTGCGTCCTGCCGTCGTCGTGCAATCAGAAGCTCCCTACTGTCTATGTATGGGACCTTAGCAACAATATCCAAGGATAGAGCTTAGTAGGAAGTTTCATCAAGTATTTTCATAAGTGTAAATTAGTAAAAACTGATTACTTTTTTTTTCTGCGTCAAATTGGAAATTGATAACTTATTTAAACCGTTGAAAGCCGAGGCACTTGATGCGTCGTACAACCGTTGGCCGATGAATACAACTGCACTCCCTGTGATCATTGGATGACACAACACCGTCTGAATGTTGATGGCAGTCTGAACGGATTGCCATTAAAAACTTATCTGCTGCTCGCACGATGTGGCACTGTGTTCTCCATGCGCAGTGTCCGTGCGTGACTTAAATGAGCAATTTGGATGTTTAGTAGAATTTTGAAGGTTTTCTTTTTGGATTTTATACAGACTAGATTTTTAAAGCCGGACTTAATTATTTAAGCCTGGAAATGTACATATTATTTGAAACTAAGTTATTTTTTTTTATTATACTATAATTTTTGTAACTATGAAATATCTTATTTTGTAGTCAGCACGGACTGATAATAGTGTAGGTGAAAGACTGGCTCTACTTCTCGACTTGTTGCAGAGTTACAAGGTAAGATTTTCTGTAAAGGCCATTCCTAGTGCAAATTAAAAATTAACACTTGTTTGTTATTTGTAGGGTATTTAAAAAGAGTGTTTTCACACTTTAAATAAAACTGGGATTTTAGCCCTTTGGTGAACATTTTGTCAACCACAATGCATTTGGAATGTTATGGTTCACATAGAACCCTAGAGTTAGGCCTAGAAAAATTGCCTTCACGAGACAACATACACACAAGAAGCTCCATATCAGGGGTGGGCATAAAAATCTATCAGAGAGCACCGAGTGGCTGCACCCAAACTTTGATCTTTCCAGTATACTTTGAAAAACCTTCATACACTGCTTTTATGCCATTTTATTCTCAGTTTTAATATTGCATTTTACAGATGATCGTTGTCAGACTGTAAAAAACAAGGTGTTTTGTAGCCAAAGATGTTTGGCAGGCCGCACACATGGGGGGGGGGGGCCGCAAAAAAAAAACTGTTGGTTGCATGCGCATTTGCCCACCTTTTCTCTATATAGGCTAATGCCAGGCACTCATTCTACATAAAATCGTGTAGCAGTGAGGGCCGCTGTAATACTGGTTATGGGGCTTAGGGAGTGGAGTTGTTTTGGTCATGAGAAAATGTAATGTTACAGTGACAGGAACTGAACCCAGGACCCTTTGATTGGAGGCAAGCATCTTAACAACCAAGCTATTCAACTGTTAGATGCGAAAAACTAATTCAATATATATAAAGTATAAATATAAATAATAATTTATATCTTTTAAGGATTTGTGTGAACGGCATGAAAAAGGAGTCCTACGAGATCATCAAATGGCCCTGCAGAAGATGGCTAATATAAAGAAGAAGAAAATGTCTGCCACTTTAAAGGGGGGAGACCAACAACAAGTAGGGGTTGTGGAACAGTTAGAATCTAGAATTACTGAGGTATGGTTTTATACACGTCAGTCAATAAATAAATTGATCAATCATTTTATATACGAAATATATTATGACATGTTGGAAGTTGATGACGTATGTTGTTCTCTTAAATCAGCAATAAAAGAAGGAAGTGGCTACCCTTCCCACAGCCCATAGTGGTGCATGATAGGATAATGAGACTGAAGTTTAAGGTTAGGGTTAATTCATCACCACCAATCAGCATCTTCACCAATGAGTATGAGAACAATAACATGGCCTAAAAAAAAAAAGGAAGACTCTGTTGTAAATCCATTGAGATTGTTCATATTTGTGAATGATGTTTCTTCTGTGTTTCCTCGCAGCAAGCTAGTCAAATCATGACAATGGAGAACCGTAATCTCTTCTCTCTTCACTGCCTGCAAATGGAAACTCAACTAATCCATGCCAATATTCCTATGATCTCGGACACAATGCAGGTCTACGCCCAGGCTGAACGTCAAGGATTTTCAGAGGTAAGAAACCCACGGTAATGTGTTGGGTACATCTATATTAATCTTTCCCATCCACAAATTTTTCTTTTCTCAAACATCCTCTTCCCAAACGTTACCCCTTACCCTATACCCTTCCATGCTACAATACTCATTACTAATGCCTATTTGCACAAAATAGTATGCTAGTAAGCTAATAAAAATAATAATTATTAACATTTAGAATAAATAACATGCACCTACTTTTACTAAATCCTACTGCAAAGTGTACTAAATGCTAAAACAATGCTTTTATTGGGAATTTTGAAATAAGCTGAAGTTGATTTGTTTTGCTTCCCGTCCATAAACTGCATTAAACTGCATTATGTTTTCGTTTTTAGTCTAAAGTATAGGCCTAGTATTCTTCCATATCAACTGAGTATTATTATAGTATCAGTTGTTTTAATTAATTGTATAATCAAAGGGTTTCGCATATGTCCATCCTTGGCAGTTTTGTTCTTGTAATTAATCTGTATCATAAATATTCATATCACCATAATAAATGGGTTACTCAGCACCACATTATTATTGTTTTCGAAAATACATTCAGTCAGAAGGCGGTTTGAAATGTTTGAAGTTTTTTTTTTTCTAATCAACATGAAATATTTCATTTTAATGTTTCAAAGAATGTTGCACCTTGGGCATGTATTAATTATTATTGACCGGGAGTACTGTAATAACAATGCTTTGACAAAGTCCGTTGGTTGTAAATGATGAACTCAAAATTATTAATGTAATTATTTATTTATTGAACATATATTATTAATACTAATTATTTTTTGTCTGCTGTTTATGTGTGTTGTTATTGTGTATTCCATGGATATATATATATATATATATATATATATATATATATATATACTTTCACTTCCTTTGATCTTGTTGCATTTTATGATAGAGTACCTTTGGGTTGTTAAATCTAACCTAGCACGACACACTTATATAGTGTAGCATTAGCTCGGAGTATAAGTTAGTGATTAAGATTAGGCCAGTGGTGTAGTGATTAGGCCTAAGACCCCTGGCTAGGCCTTTGGGCTCTACTACCCTAGATGCAATGTAGGGCCCAGTATAGTATGGGTTGAAGCGTGTCCACTCTAGCATTTGACATTTTAAGGGTGCGTTTTGATGGGTTTTTTTACACACTCATATGGTATATTATTATGCAAGACCTAATATTTTTACATTATTATGTTACTATTAAATTATTATATTATGCAGTAGATTACCAGTTTTTCCTTATTTCTGTATTTCTCTATAGCTTCTATCTGTTTGGCAAGATATCTTATGTAAGACCGAGTCTGGCGCTGGAGAGTCGCAAAACAGTTTCCTCGTTCCATCTTAGTGAATTGTGCCAAAAAAACAACAAAAAAGATAATACAAATTATAGCACATTCCAAAATGAAAAAAAAAAAAAGTCTAACTGTAAAAAAAAAAATGATAATTTTGCTAATTTTAATTGCTATTTTATTATATGTAAATTTATTGAATAACAACAAATGGTGCCTGTGTGTATTGTGTTGGTTAATTAAGTACTTAAGTTACCTTGACAAAACATTTCCAATTGAAATATGTTGATAATAGGCCTTGTTCAAACTATCATATTTTATTTGACAAAACTATATAAAAAGTTTTTGTCAAAGGGAATTTGATAATCTGGATGGAGCCTTATAGTGAGGTTGATGTATCAATAGGAAGTTTTCGATTTGTTCGACGATGCTTATGCGTGACCGTTCCCTGCGTACTTAGATTTGGCCAAAATTGTGTCCTGGAATCCATGCGACGAGGAGAAATTAACGTTCTCGCATACACAGATGACTTTTAGTGATGTCATTACGTTCGACGTCCTACCGTCGTCGTGGAAATCGAAAGCTCCCTAATTTGTCAGGCAGAGTACAACTCAACATACTATGTAATATAGATGAATATACATGAAAGAGATATATCCCGCCTCATTGAGAATATATTTAGGTTAATATTAGCGATGAGTTTTATCTGTGTTGTATTATTCTATGCATCCATATATTTATATATAGATTATAATTAGTTTTAAAGTATTTGGAAAAAGGTAAAATTTAAAGAAGGTAGTACTAGGATAGCCGGCGTATAGCAAAATATTCTGTCTTGGTCTTCACTATTAAGTCTATTTGAAAATATTTGTGTTTTATCCATAATTTGGTATCATTATGACATCATACTCCCATTATATGGGCAGTTCTTAGATATCACAGAAAATTTAATAGTTTGGACACAGAACATAGATTAGCAAGGGTAAAGCTGTAGGTTGGTGGTAAAATATCGAAATTACCTTTAGAAAATTTCTACGATTCAATATTCAAATCCAGGATTTTTTCTCGAGACTAAATAACATGCTACTCGCTAAACTGCATAGTGAGACTTTTACCCGTTTTATGTCACATGAGATAAAATATTACGCAATCTGACGCATGTTACCCTGAGAAATTGCTATGGAGATAATGAAATCTTTACATGAGCAAATATAAACCCGGCGATAAGACTGTGCCATTTATACGCAGACAGTAAAGATATGCGCGACACTACAGTGGAACATAGCTGTACAACATGCACAGATCCGTGTTAAATATCTGTAGAGTGTTAAACATTGTCCAGACTGTCAAATTTGACAAAAACATTTGACATGCCTAAATATGGTCATGATGACATCACATCATGACCATATATAGGCACATCATCACTATATATGGGTATACAACTGTTTTTTGATAGTGTGATATTACAAGCGATGCACGAATGCACTTTCACACTGACACAAACAAAGCAGGTGATGCATGCTTAATTTTCCCCAACACAGGATGCATGTAATATTTTCTTGTGTGGATCTGGTATTAGTTTATCACTTTCATCCTTGTGGATGAGAATTAAATTTTAAAAATAAGTTATCCACTCACTTGGTTGTGAGGGAGGGTAGAAAGGAGTGGTTGGGACAATGAGGGACGGAGTGAATGAGTTTTTTAAAAGGGTTATTTGTATAAATTACTTTATTTGTGTAAGCACTGAAAATATAAATGGAAGTAAGTTTAGATTCTAGATGTTGATTTTAGATGGATTAGATATGGAAAGCATGTAAAATGGCATGTTTTACAATATCTATCTCTGTGGTTAGCAATGGGGAAGGGGTGGGGATAATGTATGCCAGACTTAGTGTGGGTTTGGCATTATTTTGTTATGTATCGCTGCATAAGATGCATGTTGCATAATGTCATGGTTTGCCAATCTGTTACTTTTTTCCTAAATCCATTTTGTTTACTGTGCTTCAAGAATTTTATTAATGTACATTTATATTTTAATTCCATAAGCTTATGCCAAATAATAGCTTTTTATTCTAATTTTCTTGATTTAGATATGATACATTATTATTTTAGTTTCATTAGAATCATATAATAATTACATTTCAGTTTAAAAGTTTTAAGAGGGCAGAGAAAAAAATTATTTCCTTTTTAGCAAATTGGGTTTACCAAGAGTATATAGGTGAAAAAGATCCTTAAACATTTTATTGATTTAAATAATATGCGAGTGTGTGAAGTAAAAAGGAATTGAGAGTGCCCTCAACAGTGGTGGCGCTAGCGGAAGGGAAATCCCCCCCCCCCATGCCACAACAAAGTCATCAGACCAAAAAAAAATGATTTGCTTATCCATTTAACATATTGATTGTCAGTCCCTATTATTGTGGTCTAAAAGTACAGTTTGGACCATAATAATCCATATAAACTCAACCTGTAAATCCTACCAGAGATTTTTATTCCAGGACCCTGACCAAGACTCTAGTAGGCCCCTGGTTTGGACCCCCTGTCAGGAAATTTCTGGGACCACCACTGGCCCTTGATTAAATCCTTGCTTAAGATTTCTATCGTGTTGTATGAAGAATGTGATGCGGCAATGCATACAGCTACAGCTAGAGTAATTTAAAAAAAATAAACTGTATCTTGTCATTTCTTGTTATAACATGTTAACTTATTTTTTATTTTGTTTAGTTTGGTTTTTCTTGCATTACAGCATTGCATCTGCTTGTTATTTGCTTGTTTCTTTATGCTAAGCATTACCTACCATAGCCCCCATACCATATGCCCTTTCATCCCCCATTACCTTACCATTATATCCCATACCATACCCCACCCCACCCCACATTCTCCTTTTTAAACATATTTCATAATATTAGTATAGCGCAAAATGCTGGAGCTTTGATGCGCTTAAATATTTTTTTAACTAAGAATTTACCCGTCACTGCAAACTTAACTCGAACCAAATTAAACATGCATGTAATCTCTTATCTTTTTTTTAATTTTTGTATTGAAGAGCAATTTATCTATCTAGCTAGCTAGCCAGGGGCAGATCAAGAATTTTTCAAACTGGGGGGTGGGGGGCCCACAACATATTTAGAATAGATAAGTGAGAGCGCTAATTTCAATATATGCCTTGAAATTTTAAAAATTTAGGGGAAAAACGGGTGGAGGGAACATTCCCCCTGTGCCCCGGGGTCCCCTTTACTGGATCGGCCCCTTCTAGTTATGTCACTCTAACAGGTAAAAGCTCTCTTCCCATTAAATCTCATATTTGTGATATCAGCTTGAATGCAGTGCCCGTAAAAATCATTTGTATATAATTGTATCCATCTGTATCCATTTACAACAACTTCATAGTACATTCCGAGACAGTATCCAAATTTCATAATTCCATACTATATTTCCTAGCATCACATTCCCATAACACTCGTCCCATATCACATTTTCTCATACCACATTTGTTTTCAAACAAATACTATCCTATGTCACTTGTTAATTAAGTTTAAGTTCATTTCATTGGTCATATACAGTAAGGAATACAATACATAAAATTTGCTTTCCCATTACAAAATGCATAAAAAATACTAGTAAATTAAAATATAAGATGCAAAGCACATATATTGCATAGAATAATCAAATCAAATAACCCTAAAAGATATATAAACCACTCTTTCTTCAACAACATCCTTCCCCACCCCCTCCCCAACCTACCCCATCCCCGCATCCTAATGATTCTCAAAACATCATTGTATTCCATCTGCTCTAGATAGTTTGGTAATAGTTTGGCCTAATCTAGTACTAGGCCCTAGTGCCTGTCTCTTATACACATCTAGATGTGTATAAGAGACAGGTAGAGGGGCGCTAATTCGCAAAATAAGGTGATTTTTTTAAGTACTTGACCGTGATTTGTTTTGGGGTGGGGGGAGCGAGAAATTTTTGGGGGGGGGTGCCACCCCCCCCCCCCCCGAGGAGAAAAACCACAATTCGTTGGTGAGAAAAAAAAAATTTCTACATATTAGCAGACTCTAAAATCGATTAAAAGCGCTTTTGAAACCCAGGACCACTTTAAAAGCATTTTGAGTGATGTGCCACCCACTGGTTCAAATGCCAATGAGTTACTGCAACTGCTGTGCCAAACCATATATATGGGCATGGTGATGACATATCACAGCCGAATATGGGTATGGTGATATATCGCGCCCTTATTAGGCTGTTACTCTTATCTCCACTCATTCATTATATTTCATTATTTTAGATATATAAAGATGTTATGTTGTAGTTGATATTATTTTAAAGTAAATTATGTTAATTGTGTTTATGATACAGTATTATAACTCTGGTAGACCTCTAAAGTCATTAAAGATTTATTTTAGTTGTGTTAATTATTTCTGTAAAGGTTATGGAAAATACAAATTGTATGTGTAGCTGTTAAATGTTTAACTGTGTTATTTCAGTGGCAGCACCAGGATTTGCCCAATGAGGGCATATGCCAATTTCCAGCGGGGTCGGGAGTGAAGCATTAATGAGAATCTTTGGGCTAACCCCCCTGCTGGCAAAAAACTGACCAAAATTTTGGCCATTTTAAAACATTGAAAAAAAAATTGTGTTCGATGGCTTGTATCTGATGGTGTGGGCTTCGCCTTTGTGATGGGTGGGGATGGGGGAGGCTTATGCTCCTCCACCACAATGCTGGCACTGCCAATGGGTGTATCCGAGCTTGCAGATGTATCAAACAGTTTTTTCTTTCATTTTTTTAGCTTTTACAGATTATAATTTACCAATCAATTGAACCTATTTAGAAGTTTATTTTTGTGAATGTCGTCAATTTTTTATTTAATTTTTAGGATTGTCCATCTGCAATGGTGGATAGGCGATCCCAAATGTTGGTTGGAGGTGGAGAGAAGGCGGGCCAGTTTGGTCTACATACATACAGGTTGTTCTTTATAATGTGCCCCCCCCCCCCCCTCCCTTGATCTGTCACTGATATTCATTAGATAACAAATTACATAATTCATGATTTTAAATTTAAAATATAATTATATATATTACATTCCTATCCCTATAAATTAATGAATAGGCAGAAATGTATGAGGTTATATGTTGTGGGTTTTTTTTGTTTTTTTTTTATTTCAAAAATAAATCACAGTTATGAATGGTTATGTTATGGAGAGGAGCAAGCCAAGTATATTATATATCTTCGATTCTTGTCTGTGTGCTTCTTCTTTTACTGTTGTTTCAATTTTTTAAGTAATATGAAGTGATACACCATTTTACATTTGGCGCTATGCTTTGCTTATTTAGGAGTATTGTACTAGAGGGCGCATAGGTGAAGGGAGGTGCTAGCTGGCAAGAAGAAATTTTAAAGTACTTGAGCATAATTTTTTTGCTTCAAAAATTTCCAGTTGAGGGCGACTTTTCAGGGGTTTGCTCTCCCCAATATATACACCACTAATGCTACAGATTTGGACACTGCTGGAATAGCGTTTCATCTACTTTTAATAGGCATGAACTTGGTGGTTCATTCAAGATGAGTGTAGGGCAGGGGTGGGCATAAAAATGGGTCAGAGGGCCAAATTTAACACTTAAGACACACCCAAAATTTTATTTTCCAGTGTGCTTCCGAAAACCTTCATGGACTGCTTTTAAACCACTTTTTTATGTTCAGTTCTTTAATAAATGATCAGTGTCTGGCTGAAAAAAAAAACCAGGATTAAATTCTTAACCGAAACGGTTGACAGGCCACACACAAAGGGTTTTCAATTTTTTTCGCAGACTGCAAGAAAATCACTGTTAGGCCGCATCTGGCCTTGTGTACTAAGAAAATGAAACATAAAACAACAATTTTTCAGACTAAAATTCAGAGTTAAGATTTTATTGCAAGGTAAGAAAATACTTATACTATCAATCAAGCAAAATAATAAATTGCAAAATGCAAGGTTAATAATTTCTAAAATTCTGTATATTCTGAACAAAGTGGACACCATGCATTTTTGTAATTCTAAAAATAAAACAAAAAAGAAATACATTAATTTGTTTTCTATCTTTAAAAAGGGCTTCTTCTATAAGTAGCCAACATACAGACAATTTTGATATTTGGCATTAAATTACAGTATTACTATTTTCCTCATTACTATGACCTCAACATTAGAACAGCTTAAAATGGCCCAAAGCTGGCCAGTTTTTTGTAGGAGTTGGGGCTTCGCTCCTGGACTAAATGACTTATAAAACGACATATTCCCAGTCCTAGTTGGTATACATGTTGCCATGATATTTTAAGTACTGTAGATGATAATTTTTAGTAAGAGGGCTACAAAGGTCACAAACAGTATACATACGGTACATTTTATGATAACACCTAAAAAGATGGTCCAAATTCCTGTTCTTTCCCTCATTACATCTTGGTTCCCATGTCGAATGGACAAGAGGTTAAGATGGGCACCTGCTAAAGCCATAATATTAGTGCTGGTTTGAGCGGCCTCACCTATGATTAAGGACTGTAAATCATAGGCCCAGTATACACAACTAGCTTATCTGCATTTTAAAGACTCCAGTACATCTTTAGAGATGGGTAGGGGTACCCTGGTGTACTTGACAATAGCCCCTGTTGGGACAGGTAAGAGTAGTTTACACATAAAGAAACCCTTAGGGGAGACGTGCTATATAAATATGTACATGACATGAGTGACATGGAGTATTTGGCATGGAGAAGGTTCATCATAGAATTTTTTTTTATATTTTCCATTAAAAATATTTGACAAATTGTCAAGGATGTCAGTAACATCATTTATTTAAAACATTTTGTATAGTACTGGTGTTAATATGTGATAAAGTTGATAAGAACATGTCATGGAAGATGACTTGGTTGCTAAGAAACCATTCACAATTGTAGCCTCATGATTCCAGACTCATTGTGGTAAATCCTTCAAGCATACTCTGAACTTCATCCATCTGGAAAAGTAAAGACATTTTTAAGATGAACTTAGGGGTTGTCAAATGTGTTGCATAGAAATTACTAGAAATACTGCATAAAGTATATAAATATCCTTTATATATTTATTGGTAGTATGTCCCGGATAAACTTGCACAAATACATTACGTACTTTTCGCCGCATGACGTTAACCTTAACGTTAGTACCCAACATGCAATGCGATAGCAACTAACGTACATCGAGCACGTACAGTAAAATCCTGAAAATAACATACTCCGCAACGCAAGATGAATAAATTATGACGTCATTCGTTCACATTGTCATTTATAAAGGGAATTGAAGAACTAGAATTCGTTATTCTAGAATATGTGTAGGCAAGAGAATGCAGAACTTACTTCTTCCTTCGATGTTGTTTTTTCAAGCTGAAGGCTCATACTCTCCAAAGCCAACACTTTGTCTTCCTTACCGAGGCAGTTCATGTATGCCTTCAGCATATTGATCACCTGATAATCAAAAATATTTTTAAAATAATGATGGTGAATAATTATTAAAATACAGTTACAATTAGAAGTATAAAATATTATAATAGAAATATTGTTATAACTGATATTGCTAGGTTGAGGGTGGTAGCGACACTGATGGTCACAACAGTGTCTAAGGTAAAAATGATACCAAAAATAACAATAATGATCATAATACTAATGACAATTTATTAACATAGTGGGCATTTGCCATAGTGCTCACAAAAACTCATCAGAATTTAACTTTTGGAGTGTCACTGCATCCCCCCTACCCCTTGAGTTTGACACTTCAGGTCTGTCCCTGAAAATTATGATTCTTCAATAGATTGATCTTAACCTGATTGACTTCGTTCTTCAGCTGCCAGGACGAGAAGCTCTGATCACGGATGTGAGATATCCTCATGCTTGCCAGATGAATCGGCGTTCGACCACTCCTGTCGAGGGCATGAGCGTCGGCTCGGTTTTGTAGCAACGTCAGTACAGTACCGATGTGGCTTCCGATTGCAGCTGAAAAGAGTTATGTGAAATGTACTAGAGAATATTATCTCAGATGTTGGATGTCTGATTTCTTTGCAATATTCCTGATTGTTATGGGAATGTGTACCTGGCTTCGGTATCACAATCATTTTTTTTTTTTCTTGGCCATGCGTAATAGCTTACCAAGATGGAGTGGAGTGTTCCCAATAACATCTATCTTGTTTGGGTCAGCACCGTGATTCAGCAACAATTGCACTACAGATTTAAATGAAATATGGGTTAATTAAAATCAACAGCATGTGTCAATCCTACAAAGGTTATTCATTTATTTGTTGTTTGTTTGTTCACCATATTTTGACAAAGTGAATATTTTGCAAGATTCACATACAACAGGGGCAGTGGCATACAGTGTCTTAGGAGTCTTGAAATGGGGAGCTCGTTGATTACCGAAGTAGTGAGAAGCCCTGGGTCACAAAATAAGGTGATATTTTTATCTATGTGCGAGTTATTTTTCATGCTCCAGACATTTTCAGTGGAGGGGGGGGGGGGCACTGAAACAACATTAAAAACATTGATGAATTTTTATAAACTGTTTGCTCAAAATCGCTGAACATGTAACTTACTAACAAAAGTAATGTTCTTTCTGTTATTTAATCAGTGCATCTGTTGGTGTATTCTCTTTCTTACCTATTGCTTGGGATCCTTTGGAAGATGCGAAATGAAGAGCAGTCCTGCCCTTGTCATCACAACGGTTAGGATTTACTTCGTCTTTTAATAGTCTTCCAACTACAGAACCGAATAAGAGTTTTCATTATTCATGCATAGTCCTCTTATCATTTATAAAAAAAACTGACCTAAATCTTCAATTTATAATAAAGTATTTATTCGAATGAACGTCCCCCTCGAGAAAATGCCCTCCCCCCACTTCTACAATAACTTTGAAATGAAGAGCAGCCCTGCCCTTGTCATCACAATGGTTAGGATTTACTTTGTCTTTTAAAGTTTTTCATTATTCATGTAGTCCTCTTTTCATTTATCATAAAAAGAACTGACCTAAATCTTCAATTGATAATAACACATTTTTACAAATAAACAGCGCCCTCGGGAAAATGCCCTCTCCACCACCTCATATGGAATAAACGCCACAGGCGTTTAATTTTTCCTTGGACAAACATCCCCTTATATGACTGTAAACAAACCTAATAGAAGCAACATCATTTACAATACATTCCCTTAATGTTCTACTCTAGTAGAATTACATTTTTTTTCTAATCTGGGATCAGTCAGTTTTATTATGATCATGCAATAACACATTTTTTTAAGCCTCCCTCAAATAAATGTCCCCAAAAAAACCCTTTTCAACAATAAAATACGGTACAGTATGCTCCATAGAATAATTACTTAAAATAAACCATGATATAAGTGCTCAATGTTCTCCCAATATTTTACCCTCTGAAGATTTTTTTTTTAATATTTTGCCTGACTAAAAAAAATGTGGTCCAATTTACGGTACTGTAGGGCTGTTTGCCTACTTCTTTTTTTCGGTTTGTTTGTAGCATTTCAGCTAAATGATCAACAAAGGCTACTCCATACCTTCTTCTATATCCACACAATTTGCAGCTTTTCTCAATTTCCTTTCTCCTAAAATAGTAAGATATTCAGTTAATAAAAATAGCATGCAGCAAACATCACAAATAATAAATGCTTAATTATATTATTATTATTATTTATTTATTTACTCTTTAGCAGGCTTATGATGGATTATGAATACTGTAGGCCTAGTAGACCTATTGTTCCAAAAACGATTTAAAATTACTTTGTGATAAACATAAATAACAAACATGAGATAATACCTATGATATCTAAACTCATCGGTGACTTAGCAAGAAAGATGGCCCCTCGTCTGCTCTGTAATCTTGACTTTTTTCTCCGGACTTTTCCCGTAAATTCATGTTGATTTGAAGTTATTGCAGTTTCTTCATCTTGACATTGTTGTTGCTGATCTGTTGGTTTACTATAAATAAATTCTTTTGGTTGAATCCCTAGGAAATGTATACCTGCAGGTGGCTCAGGTGACCAATCAAGGTTACTGAAGTCAAATGTTACTTTTCGCTGGTCGGCGTTGCTGTCTGCTAGGCCTAGGCCAGCAGGTCTAGAGGTACACGACGAGGAAGAAATTGCAGCAGCGGAGGCGACGCTAGCCAACGTCGGAAATGTAGACGTTTTGGGCCTAACTACTTGGGGGAATACATTTCCGTCTTCCATCTCAACTATTGCAATACACTCATTATTTATGATATATCTAATGTCAACTACAGTTACGTACTCTTCATTTCAAACCCCAGAACCAACCATAAATTTCTTCGATTTTGTTTTATACATACACGACGGGCGCAGACATGTTTGTTTCCTTTTTGGTGCATTATGGGGAACGGTCAAAGGTAAGTACTCTCTCTGATATTGATAATAGAATTTACGTTGTAAATTAATTGAATATCCTAAATTAGTTTATAATTACAGTCATATACTTTATGACGTTTTCTCTGTAGGCTACTATAACAGTTTGCAATAATGTAAAAAGCTGAAAACTGAATATTTCTTTAAACATGTTTTCTATCTAGGTATATCTCCGAACAAAATAATAAACATGACCTTTAACCGCACTGACTGACGGGATATGGAGGATAGGGTCCAGAGAAATTGGCATGTATAAACATCGCAAATGGCGAGCACTTACGCAGATTTACGAGAAAAGTTAGGAAATTCATGTCGTCTAAGGAATGCAGGATTACATAGTGATAGAGAAAATCCAAAACTAGAGACGATATCAAATCGTAAACATAGATCTAGTTTAGGCCGTAAGCGGAATGTGGTGGACGATATCGAAGTCGCGAAGTTGATTCGCGCAGGGATCAAACAATTTCAGCTTTTCGATGAGGAAGAATGTCAGAAAATTGAAGAAAAGATCAATGAAGTAGTTCGCATAGGTGACGATGATGTTTACAAAGACCACACAGTTGACAGAGCCCCATTACGAAATAAATATTTCTTCGGGGAGGGGTATACTTATGGCGCACAACTAGCAAAACGAGGCCCTGGGCAAGAGAGACTGTATGCAAAGGGCGAAGTTGATCCCATTCCTGACTGGATATACGAGATGGTTGTGGCAAAACTTGTGGAGAAAAAGATTATCCTTGATGGGTTTGTGAACAGTGCAGTGATTAATGACTACAAGCCAGGCGGATGCATTGTGTCGCACGTTGACCCAATTCATATCTTTGACCGACCCATTGTGTCCGTGTCATTTCTGAGTGATTCAGCGCTAAGTTTTGGATGCAAGTTTAGCTTCAGACCAATACGTGTAACAAAACCTATTGTATGTGTACCAATGTCAAGAGGTTGTGTTACCATTTTAAGGTTAATATTGCTGTTATCTATTTAAAGAAACATTCTTTTTACTTTACCATCAACAAGATCATCTTGCAATTGCAATCAACATGATTTACCCCAGGGGGCTCACTCTTAATTATTTCTATACGGGTAGGTGCCGCATTTACAGGGGTATTTTTGAGGACTTGGTAGCACAAGTGTGGGAATTTATGAAAGAGTTTCAGCATGTATAGGGGAAATACCAGGTAAAATTGGTAGTTAAAGTCCCTGCCCCATCCCGTATCTTCAAATCAGTATAATTTTTCCACACGATTTTAGCTAAATTTTTGCTAAAAACTCTTTGCCAAACCTACAGAGAGATTGGACATAACTGCGGTCTTATTCGTCATCGGGAACCAGAACAAGTTTAATTTGTTCGGTTAGGCCTACATGGCCATAATAGTAGTTCAACCGATATTGGATTTTGGTAAATGGTAGTTCAAGTCCCTAATAATTTTCAGTAGAATAGGTAGCGCAAGTGTCTCATGTCTTGGAGTGGCTGCTGCACACCCCCTGTAATGTTGCATTGCAATTTAACCCCCCGAGATTTACCTGTATACAATTTTACTACCCGGTTCTGCTAGGACTAAACACCACTGGAGGCCAATGACAATATTTGGGTGTAATAACAGACTGTATAGTAAGGGCCCTTGTGGGAATATGTCCGACGAGCAAAAATTTGGCCTAGAAATAGACATTTTTGCTTAGAAATTCATTTTTAGCCTTTGATAACCAATTGCAGTACAAGCAAGTACATACCACCCAATTGTAAAATGTTGTACTGTATCATCATGGTCAATCCCTGGTGGTGTTTTGTATGACCCTTAATAACTTTTTTTTTTTCATGACTTAAATATCAATCGAAACTCCATTGACTTCTTGATACACTTCATTGGGAATAGATTCGTTACATGAATAAGATCATAAATACTTCAGGTTCAGAAATTGTTCAAAAGCTGGTCACATTTCCGAAGTGTGCAGTGTGTCGTCGTAGAATTAGAATAGAATAGCATAACTAAATAAAGATTCAAACATATACTGCACCATATAATTTTTGTATCAAATATTATTTTATATAGTGATTATGCCGCAGATCAGGTGACCCATTGCATAAGGCCACAGGATGTCCGTGCAAGAAGGGCAGTTATTATTCTCAGACGGTATGTTTTTTTTTCTTGTAGTATTGTCTAGTACCATACATACTATGATTCTCATATTGTTTATTTTTTAAATTGGAGGTGTACATGCTCATTTCGTTTTCCCCTTCATGGAGTAGGCCATTGGAAAAGTGTGGCATTTTGATTCAGAACAGTCATCGAAATAATCAGGCCTAATGCATTTCATTGTTGATGTAACCTTTCAACTTTGTTACATACACTATTATGGGATGTTCTCGCGAGAACAGTCTCTTGGGCTGAGAGACTAGACTACGGAGAGGATTCTCAAAGAGAGGTAGCATGACCCAAGCTGCGTCTTGAGGGAGGACGATCACGAATAAACTCTATTCAGCTTGAATTGGTCTCATGAATCTTACTGTTTCAATGATTAAAACTTGCAGTATTGTTGTCTGGCAAAGCCATGGTGCTACGTCATTTGGGGTATACTCAAGTCAATGAAAAGTTCCACTTCCAACATTACATCCAGCTGAACTAAGACTATCAATCTAGATAGTCTTGATTACCATTAGGTTTGATGGTAATTAGGCGAGCCCTGCTGTACCATAACCGTGCCTCAAATTTGTTGCTCGCACCATGAACTAACACAATGCAAAAAAGAAAACCAAATGTGTGCAATTAGGCGAGTATTGCTGTACCATACTATGCCTTCAATTTGTTACTAACACAATTTAAAAAAAGAAAAATGTGTTAAAGTATGTGCTGTTACTGACTTTTTATATAGTAAAGAATACAAAAGTCCTAAAAGACATAAATACATGAAATGAAATGGAAGTTTATGATTTCACAAACTAACACAAAACTTTTTTGTGTTTGTTCATGGTGTGAGCAATTGTGGAGGAGGAGAGCGAGAGCATAGGCAGTTTTCACCGCACGACGTTAACCTTAACGCTAATGGATGACGTCATAATTTATTCATCTTGCGTTGCACAGTACGTTAATTTCAGGATTCTATGTGCTCGACGTACTTAATTACTGGTTTGCGCATGCATATTTCAATTTGTTTAAAAAAGGGGCGGAGCTATCGCACTGCATGTTGGGTACTAACGTTAAATGTCGTGCGGCGAAAACTACCTTATATGTATGTAGGGAGGCTGATGCATCACTGATTCTACCTTGAAGTTTGTTCTCAAAAATCAATTTGTTGGTACAGGTATATATTGTATGATAAGAAATTTAGAAATTTAATTTTTCATGTTTGTTCAGGGTTTACTCAGATGCCCCTCGTCTGGAGCCTTCATTTCCAAGCTCAAGCAGCAGAGGCAGGAAGAGGTTGCGCCAAGAGGACAACCACCCCAGAGGCTCCTCATACCACAGATTTCACAGCCATTCTCGTGATGACTCACCAGATCCCAAGATCAAAATGAAGTCATCGGTGCATGTGGTTGAAGGGTCGGTGGCAAGTAAGACTGACAAAGAGAAGGAGAAAGAAAGGGCTAAAAAGAGGTATACTTCGTTGTCTTCATCCTCTTCAGAAAAATTAGAGCCAGCAAATATCCCTAAGGCTCAGAGGGAAAGGGAAGAAGGAGAACTTTCCGAAGGTGAAGGAAAAGAGAAACCAAAGAGAAATATAAACAAGGAGGTGAAGGTAGAACAGGATGTTGTTCCAAAAAAGAAAATTAAAATAAATCGTCCAAAGCTGTTAAGTTAGCTGGAATAAGTGTTAATTAAATGAAATTACGTCCTCACTGCGTTTTATGTGACAAATACATGTGTTAAGTCACAGATAATAGTCACAAAAACTTCATAATGTGGACAGACCTATAGCATAGTTTTATGAAAAATAGAAAGATTTATAGTAATTTCAGGGGGGGGGGGTGCGGGAGGGAAGGGAACCACATTGTCTACCAAAAATAGTTATCTGTTTTGAGTGATCATATCAAACATGTGGTTAATACTGTATGTAGTGATTATCATATTACACAACATTTGTTTAAATATATCTCGTAATTACATTATTTTCTTTTGTGCTCAATTCATGTCAGACAATTGTCTGACAATTATCATTTAAATTTGTGCCCATATATATGACATTATTATGCTAATATATGGGAATTTCACACAAAGTTGTCAATTTAAAGCATACACTGCACCATGGACACAATTCCATGTATAATGCAATCTGATGACGCACATGCAACAGCAAAAACGAACCACTCACACTGTCGCCAACAATCTGCAGACGATGTCGCATCGTCAAGCGTTCATAGGGAGTGGAGATAGATTCTTCGATCATGTGTCCTTCATACAATGCAGCGAGGGCCCGGCTGTACATGATGTGTTATGGCATTACAAAGAATTTTTGGTTATGGAGTTTATAACGTACAAAGGTCAAAATAGTTTGTTTCTGCATCAGACTTCCCAAAACCTCTCTACATTTACCCATCGTTTTAGCCGAAAACATGTGAAATATGGCTAATATTTATCAGTACTGTCTAGTAATACTGGACAACAATCAGAACGTTATTGTGTTGTACATGAAGTACCGTATTTTGTCGCGTGAACTTTAGCCCTTGTTTGGACTATGTTTTAACAGGCTTGTAAGACTCATAATGAAACAATCTGATATGAAAACATCATGTCATCAACAACAGGTCTGGTATTATTTATTTATTTATTTTCAGTTGCATTTCTTAAACAATATACATTAAATTCTAACTATCTGATTACATTACCTGCATGCAGTTTTAAGAGAGTGCAGGATTGGTTTTCATATTTCTGTAACTTTTGTTATGGGGGTTGTATATATTTTGTCTTGATTTTATAAATGTACTACTAGCAAAGTCAACATTCTACCATATCTATGGATCGTGTTCTGTAACCGATAAAACACATTGCAGGACAAAACTGAATTCTGTTATAATTTTCACTAAAATATGCACTGATACATTCTGTCAACATCCTAGAAGCTTGTGGAGGGCCTATTGGCTTTTTAATTTTTATTTGTAGACAGGTAAGCCCCCCCCCCCGTTGCATCAGTTTACTATGCATACACAGGTAAACCCAGTTCACATTGACATTTAAACCAGACTCCGGTTGCGTCACATGAACTTTTTTTTAGTGTGAACTGCTACCATGACTATTCTAGCATCTGATTTTTCAAACCAGCTGACTTGACATGTTTCAGACAATCGATGTGAAATGACCCCTATTTTTACCAATCAGAGGTTATGTCACATCAATTGGCCTAATGTGACATGACCTCTGAATTGTCAGCATGATCATTCATGTTGACTAATCAGAAAGCATTTCTACTGTATATTAGTCAATGGCTGTGAATGTGTTCAAATGTTTTCAGGTTTGCTGGTATATTGTGAGCATGTACTGTATATCACACTTGTTAGAGAGCAGCACTTTAGAGGGCCTAACATCTGTTTGTTTTCTCTCATGCATGCTGACTACCAAACCACTTAAAGTGGACACCCTGACAGGTTCATGTTAGACGCAAGACGCGAGTCATGCTTGGAGTGAATCAGAAGTGCAAACATAGCGCTGCTACCATCACCAATATTTGTTATGTAAAAAGTTGTGATTGAATACATTACATTTTATTACTATATTTCAGTCAGTACTTCATATTGATCAACAGATTTTGAGAGACTTCAATATGCATAACCAAGGGTCAGACAAGGTCAATGTTTACAAGATAAAATAAAATGAGTTTGTAGATTAGTACTAAACTACAATCATACATTGTAAATATCATATATAAATACAGTATATATCAACCATATTAGTGTACAAAAGAAGTATGGATGGTTATCAAATGGTAGTTTTTTTAAGAATACTTGAGTGAGTGCAAAGGTAAGACTGATAAATTCCCAGTTGCCTAGCAGTAAAATGGTTGCCATGGTCACATAATAATGCCACTTTGGCAGAATTGGCCGGTGAATCAGCATCATTTTGCAGTGGTGTTTTGCGTTTTTGAAACTTCCATAGCACATTTAATTCTAAAGTTGGAAGAGTTGAACCAGTAAATGTGAAAACTTTTTCACTAGGCACAAATTGGGAATGACCATTTTGTTATGTACTGTACTTTTATTTTGAAGGATTGAATAAATTGGAGTTAGAACTCAAATTTTTTCTTATAGCACTTGAAACTGCCATTCTGTTAAAACAGTTGTTATGCATTCATCTTAAACATTGGATACTTTAGGACCCAGGTGGGCGAATTGTGGCCCATGGGCAACATGCGGCCCAGACGGGAAAATATATTTAAAAACCTTGTGTGTGCAGCCCTGTGGTGTGTCTAGGGTGTACTTGTGGTGGGGGTTGGGAAGAAGAACACACAAATAGAGAGCTTTTTTTCCCTTCTGCCACTCCCATTAAAATTGTTTGAAGCAAAAAAGTGATGCTCAAGTAATTAAAAATCACCTCATCTCACCACCTTATTTTGCGAGCTGGCACTCCTCCAACGACCCCCCCCCCCACAAAATATTCCCCCATTTCAAGACTATATGCCACTGGTGCAGCCTTCTTTGACTAGAAAATCCCTTGTAATATTAAAGCAGAGTATGAAGCAGTGCAACAAGGTTGGATTGGATTGGATTGGATTTATTCGGTGTAAACATCAAGTATAGCCCACGAAAGTCTAAAAGAAGACTTATTTCCAGTGGGGTCCTTCTGGTGGTGATTGGACAGTACACCAGGAGACAATCCCTTACTCTTTTCCAAAGAGTGTACTGCGTTCTTTAACATGCACATGGGCCATAAATGCACACGGGACAACCGTCTCATCCGAAAGACAGCTATTGTACCATGTATTTCAGCCCTCTAGCTGAAACACAAGGAGAGGCAGCGATGAGAATTGAACTGGGGACTTATAGATCTCCACGGTCTAGCGCACACACAGTGGCTACCCAGATTACCCAACTGAGCTGCTGCTAAGGTTACAAGCACTCCGGAAACATCAAGTCGCTTGCACTTGACAACATCCAATGAGATGATACGAATAAGACTTTAAAAATTGAATAAAAATAGAAATATTATTTCTTAGATTTTTATTTTATTGTTGATTGCTAATGTATGTTACTATGCCAGATGTGGATTTCATTCATGTAGCATTCATATTTTTGACGGAAGCGGGCCGGTTGCCGCCGGACATTTGCTTTCCCTCCCCCGGTATTTAGCC